TTAAGGCCACGTTTACCACACTATTACAAATAAACAGGGAATATTTCATTATTATGGATGTAATAAATGAAAATGTAGTGACATTGAGTAAGATTAATATTGATTCAAAACTCAACCATCCAACATTTATCTCATCTCTTTTTTCAAAGTGAGCTGGTCCCACCATGTCACTTGCTGATGACTGGCAACATATGGTCGCAGCACACGCCCCCCTGACACTAATATACAGACCATGTACACACATGTTCCCATGGCCCACTAAAAGTAGTGGGTGTGCCCCAGCATATGTCTGCTACTGGACGTTACATGTGATCAGAACTGTCTGTGTGTCCTTAGTGTTTGTGTGATTATGCATCTGAGATATATTCATAGTATGGCATATGCTTGGAAAATACATGTGTCAGCAAGTGTTGGCCATGCATGTGAATGAAATATGTCCCATCGCAGCCCACTATGTTGACATGCACTGTTTTTGTGCCTCTCTGTGTGTGTGTGTGTGTGTGTGTGTGTGTGTGTGTGTGTGTGTGTGTGTGTGTGTGTGTGTGTGTGTGTGTGTGAATTTTTAGATGGAGTGCAAGTGTGTGATAGTAATCCGGATTGGGCAGCTGCGCTCATTCGTATTCAGCCCCAAGGCACTTCTAGGCCGTCTCGCTGATTAGGGATCAGAGATAGAGAGAGAGAGAGAAGGAGAGAGAGAAATGGTGAAGGAGGTGAGGAAAAAAGAGAGAGTGAGAGACAAAGAGAGAAAGAGAGAATTAGAAACAAAGCAGCAGAGAGGTCTCCCATTTAGTAAACAGTTGGTTAATGACTCTAATCCCATTAAGATTAGGGGGAGCAGCTTGCCCTCTCACATAACATGCATTATTATGTATGTGTAAGTGTGTGTTTTTCTCCCTCTCGTTCACACAGAAGCACATGCACTGTATACATTATACACAGGAAATTAAATTGCTTTGCCCTCACAAACATCCAATAAAGCCCTAATGTAACATTGTAGGCTTTTAAGGAGGCTTGAAGAGCAGCCTTATGAAAATGACATGTTAATCAAATGAGCGTTGTATATTTTCAGGCACGATTTTGCCAACAATTATTGTTTTGACCTGGCTCCTCAGTTGACAAAAGAAACCCGCTCCCTCTGAGGAGCAGGAAATCAGCTTTTCAAGTGCTCTCGTGTTTCAAGAGTGGAGGGCAAGGCAAGGCGTGATTGCTGCACTCTGCAGAGAGGATCAGGCATGGGGGGGGGTTTCATACAAGCAGAGAATAAGCAGTGGAGGCACATTACTCACCGTTTTCTATGGCAACTTGTGCTGATCTGTAGAGAAAAATAATGTTGAGAAAATACTCTCTCCTTGGTATATCAAACACAGGATAAAAAAACAACAACATTCCAGCTGGTGGCCTTCTTCAACACAAAGCTTGTGAGTGTTTCACCTCATTTGTATAATGTCTAAGTGGCAAAGACACAAGTGTGTGCATAAAGCTTTTAACTGAATCCCTCATAGAAGACATACATATGAAAATTCAGTGTCAATATGCTGTAAAAAGTGGTACATAGTTAGAGAGGGTGAATTCTGAAATATCATTTTATTTAAACATTTAACAAATATTTGTTCAATAGGCCTGGATTTCAATAGCTTAGCTGCAGCTATGTTTCTGGACATCATCTAAAAAGATTGTATTCTCTCTCCTTGCTTCCTTGTTCAGCAATTAGTTCTCAGTGAAGCCAATATGATCTTTGATATAATATAAACATGTATTTAATACAAGTACTAATTGCTAAAGCTTGTCAATCAAGTTTGAATTGTTAAATGGCTTAAAATGCAAGTATGTTTATGGAACCATGAATAGTCTTTATGGTTTTCAATATGACTAATGACAACCCAACCATTATAATAGTAGTGAATTATAATAGTATATCCTCCTGGGACCCGAGGAAAAAAAGTGTCTTCCAATTTCCTTTTTTTGTGTGATTTCCTACCTATTTAGGGTTAAAAAAACATCTTGCAATTTAGACTTTTTTAATTTAATTTAATTTTTAAATGTTACAGTATGTCCACTGTAGAGGACGTCGGGACCATTTTAGTTTGAAAAGACAGCCAAAATTAACAGATAGACTAGTAACGTATTATGGTTATAGAGTGATATTAATAAAAGAATACATTCACCTTTATTTAAAACATAAATAAGTAATTGATCTGAACATTGCTGTTTATTTGGTCACTAAAAAACTAGTTTGGCTTTTGGTGAATCTTTCTAGATCTTCAAAGACTTTGTAGTCGATGTACTGGGAAAGTACCTCATTGGACTCCAGTCGGCACGGGCTGTAGGGTCATCTCGACTAGTTTTATGGATGTGGTCTTCATTTGACCATGCTCAGAGGAACAAAGCTTGCATTCCTGAGGCAATTCTCATTTTTCATGGCTCCACTTAAAATAAAAACAACAATAAGACATGCGTGCTACTCTTGGCCCACAGAGGGCCATGTCTTTCCAGCTCGTCCCTATCTGTCTCTATGTCTGTATCTGTGCGCTCATGGAGCCTCCTGCATCGTTCCCCCCCTTCTTCTTGACCCTCTTCTATCCCAGGTGTGAAATCCTCATCTCTCATCATCTGAGAGCTCAAAATCTGAATCTCCCTTAACTATCTTGTACAGGAAATGTCTGCTTCAGTTCCGTCTCCACAATATTGAGTTATTAAGTCCATGAAGATGGTCCTGACGTCTACTAGAATGGACATTTATAAAAGAGCTGTTATTTCAAAACTTGAATTATTTAATTGCTTTCTGAACTAATTATATAATTCCTCACATGTTAATAAACAAGAACACATATGATTTTCACAATATTTGACTTCTCCTCCTGCTTCTATAACATTTTGTTTTTGGTATGCCAGCCATTTTGGATGAGAAGAAAGAGGAACTTCCCAGCATGCAATTTTAACCAATGACATATCACTGGAAATACCAGGATGTCCTCTTTTGGGTGCAGTGCTTCATTTTGAAGAAAAATTAGGTGTTTTGCACTTTGGGCGTGTGGATTCGAGAATTGTGTTAAGTGTTTGGAGAAAATGAAAAAACTGTAAAAAATAAACAGTTTCTTAAAGAATATTCAATAAAATTAAGCAAATGCAATAAAGTTATTTGCAGCATAACGCTTTGGAGCTGTATGACCATCAGGCCAATGGCTGCATGCTTCTTCTGCATGTGGATGAGGCGCTGGAGCCAGACCCAGCTAGGTGGCGAGATGCAGCCTCAGCACTTTTCTTTCCTCTGTTTTTTGTAAAAATATTTTTTGTGTTTATTTTTCCTCAAAGTTTTCCTTTCCATTTACTGTATTTGACAGAGGCATCATTTTTGTTTACACAACTGTAACTATGTGTTGTGCATGAATGTGGCACCAATTTGTTTTGGAGAATAATAGATAACAACAGTATATTTGTGTTCCTGTACATATTTTTGTAGACTTGAACAATATTTATATGCAGAATTCTCTACACACAGAACACCATAACAAATGTGTGTGCTTTAGATTGAGCACCACAGTGTGTAGTTGGTTGGACAAAGAGTCTTGTACTATGATATTAACAGAAACACATGCGGCCGGCAACACGATGTCATCATACTCAGCATATTAAAACACTTACAATGGAAATACGTTAATATGAGTGGTTTGACGTTTTAACTTGAGAAATTTCATATCAAATTCACCTTCACATTAAGTCAAGAATAAGTCATCACAACTGCAATAATAGAAAGCGCCACATAGCATCACTCAGCTGGCTTGATAAGACAAAGACATTAAGTTATTTTGCTCTATAGTGGTTAGTATTTTAAACAATATATAGCTGTCGAATTGATTGCTTGACAAGTTAAAAAACTGTTATTGTCAAGGTTTCCATTTATAAACCACATTGTAGGTTGTGGGTGTTGGACCTCATGGGAGATAATGCCACAATGTCAGCTGGGAATCATTATTAGATAAATTAAATAAACCACATTGATGCATTTGACAATATCATGCCATCTGCTCACCTACGGCCTTAAATGTATGCCATGTGTAGGAGTTGCATGTGTGTGGGAGCAGATCCACTCAAGCTTGTGATTAGTTTGCTTAAATACCCTGTTGACCCACCTGCTGTGACTTGTTGCAACTTGTTGTTGATGTGAAACGGAAGTTGGTGCAATACATTTGCAAAAAAGCCTTTGTTCTACTTTATCTGTAAGGGAAAGAACATAATGATTTTGTAATGAAAACCCACACTGAGCCCTCTTGGCCATAAAGGACTTCCTGTAATTGAATAACTGAGCAGGTAGTTCGACATATGATTTCAGTGAATTACTGCAGAGGATCATGTCAAGCAATTCATGTCCCAAAAAAGGATCCACTCACTTGTTCTGATTTATTTTATATTTGATAACTGTTGAAAAATATGACAATATGTATTAAGGCAAGTATACACATTTAAAGTAGATTTCGTCTACAGCTAATTTGCTATGGGTTTTTATCCAATCATCTTCTCACAAATATCATTCTTATATGATGAAGATCCATTTCAGTATGCAATAGAATAAACCATAAGCATTTTATGTTGCTTATCTACTGAGTCAAGCTGGCAGCAGACAAAGTTAGCCAATACACTTTTGATCCACACAAGTCTTCTCGACAGAAGGGATATAAAACTGTAAAATCCCTCCAATATGTGGTAGTCAGCCTCGGGTCTCCCCCTCATTTGGACATGATGTATGTCTCACATGTATTCCGATGCTGATGTTAAATCTGGAGAAATTGTCCCCTCCACTTTTTCTAACAAAGTGACTTCCAATACAAAAAAGCCACTCAAACACACTCACACACACACTCGGATTTTCACTGTTTACAGTATGTCATAGGATGTCTGACTGACTCAGTTTTGGACCAATCATGCCTCAGCCTCGATTCAGCGTTTGTCCAATCACAGTAGAGAGCAAGATGATTGGCCCGCCCCAGAACTGCATGTTCAAAAAGAACGTCATCTGCCTCATACATTTAGCTTTAGCCAAAATTAGCTAGTTGTTCAAATCATAGATAGATCTTGGCGAAACGAGTGTTTTTCATTTCAACTGACAGCCTACGTAGCGGTTATTTATTTGGTGCTCCCTGGGTTTACAGTGCCAAACATGTATATAAAAGCCTTGTTCCGAATCCGATGCAGAGACATGCTGAAGGCAGAACTGATCGTGTGAAATGCTGGCTAGCTTAATCAAAGCTAGCTGACGAGCAGGGGCCGAGAAGCGAAAGTGGCTAACATTAACGAGAGATAAGCCTATCACAAGAAGCTCGGGTAATAACATAACCTGCCACTGAAGCAACAAGAAAAACGACTGATAGAGGTAGTTTCTTTCCTACAAAGTAAGTACAATCTGGTACTTGTGATGTGCTACGTTTCTAGTAAACACTTTGACAATTTCGCTAGCTGGTTAGCTAGCAACACAAGTGGCCTCATTTTCAGTTAGAGGCTCTTAGTTAACGTTATAATGGATAACAGGGTTTAAAGTGTTGTTGTTTTTGTCTTTGTTTTGGTGGTAAATATGAGGATATTACCAGCCAGTTATTATCATGCTGGGATCTGAATTTGTTAATTGGTTGACGTTGTTGTTTTGCTGGATAACAGTCAAATGTATCATTAGCCAGTATTCCAGTTTATAATATAACCTGGTGAAGTAAATTACATTTACTCAAATACTGTAAGTAACTACAATTGCAAGGTTATTGTACTTTACTTGAGTATTTCATAGTGTTGCTACTTTGTAGTTTTACCCCACTACAGTTCAGTTGTAAATCATGTACTTTTACTCCACTACATTTATTTTGGACCTTTAGTCACCTTACATATTTTGATTAATGATGTGACATATAATCAACTAGTAAATAAGACTTGAGTTACACCTGGAGTAAATACATAAGCTACCCTGCAGCATACAAAGTAAATACAGCTTTTAGAACATTGTAGTGGGTCGATTATCATAACAAAAACATATATATATTATTCTGAAATGGGCCAATCTGCAGAATAAGTACTTTTACTTTTGGTACTTTAAGTATATGCTGATGCTAATACTTTTGTTCTTTAACTTAAGTAACATTTTGGTTGCTTGTACATGTAACAGAGTATTCCTTCAGTCTTGTAGTTGTACTTTTACTTAAGTACAAGCTCTGAGTACTTCTACCACCTCTGGTTACCTCTAAGGGCCAAGAGCACAAATGTTTATTTTATATATTTCTTTATATTTTCTCTTGTTTTGTATTGCCATTCTGTCCCCATGCACCACTACTACAGGAATGAACTTGCTTTATTGCCTTGTTGTAGGTAGTCGTCTGTGGATGTTTGTGCATCTGTGGCTGTGTGTTTGGCCGTGTTTGTGTGACAGTGTGTTCCAGAAATGGCAGTATCATCAGTGGCATGTTTGTGTTGGCACCTTGATGTGAAATCCTGCACTGGCCATGCTGTTTTAGCCTATGACTACAGCGAGTCTATTGGCCTGTCCGAAGGCATTTATCTATACACTTCTGATTGTGTCTGTTGATTGAATCTCTACACACGCAGATGTACGCTCGGATAGCGTTAACTGGCAAGCTCAAAATAACCCAAAGATAAATGTATCAAGTACCAAGAGGGGGAGATGGATGGGATTTGTCTGTGTCTGAACCTAATGAGATGCAGATATGTTTTCTGATGACATTGTTTTCTATTTTTGAAAAGCCAGCATAAATACCGTTCATACTGATGTACAGATCATGACATTTTGGATATGCATAATTATGCGATTATTTTGACTGATATTGCTATTGTGGTAAGATTCCCGGAGGCACTATTTAATTCCCATTTTCTTTGAAAAATATATTTAATTGATCTTGTGATTTTTACTACTTTTATTTTTTATCATCAGTATCTTTACCTAACAACGGATTTTCCTTAAGTCTGTAGAATACTTTATTTTTTGGCTGGTACATCTCTGCCGCACCACACTACTTATTTAGATATTCTGGCCAACACTGCAGGTTCATTGAACCATCTCAATATATTTCATTGTCTCTGGTAATATGTTACCACATCGCACGTGTTGTTGCAGTATGTCTTTCAGGACTTGAGCTTGCTTTCAAACCATTTACTTCATGGTAAATGTTGATGGACACACATGCAATAACATCCCTTGGCGTCTCAAAGTGAGGAAAGTCCAGGTTCGGTGTATAGTGACGAGTACACATCTTGTTGTAAAGGCCAATCACAGTCCAGTATAACATGACACATTTACATTCGTCTTCTTTGGCTATAGTCCTATATAGGGCTGCACGATATTGGAAAAAACTGACATTGCGATTTTTTCCCCCCTGCGATATATATTGCGGTATGAAAAAATACAGGAATTGAAGAAAAGACAGTTTTTTTTGTCCGCAAACCATCCTTTCTTGAACTTTAATGCTATACAATTGGTATTTTTTTAACAATATTTAACCGGATGAAGGATTTTAGTCACGGACTTCTGGATCTTAAGTTATCAGAGCAACAAGCTGAGCTAGCTCGGATATCCTGCTGTGATCTGATCAAGAATGATTGTGATTGGTGGTTTGCTGTGCATGCAGAGCCTGCATGTCACTCACTCAAGTACCCCTGACATGAGAGCTGCGTGAGTTTTCCTTTTGAAGCAAGCGGCAAAATAATTGTAACATGACGTGTTTGAGTTTATTTGCCTACTTAATACCGCACGTCCTAAAAAATTAAAAAATCGCACGTCCTGTGATGTCAATTCGCGCATGCGCGTAACGCGATTATCGTCATCTGCACTGTAGATGACTGAGATGTCTGTTCAGAGCACTTGTTTGGGGAAATTGACCCGTTCTGATGCGACTCTGATGAGTCATCAAAGAGGAGGGGGATCTAAGATATGTTTGTTCCAACTCTTCAATTTGTAAAAGGAGAGCCCTTCTTGAGAAGTGGATCTTATTCCATTTTAGTTACAATTTTTCTCATAACAAAGCGGCTGATCCCGATACCTTGTTTTTTTTAAACTTTTTCGGATGTGGTTAATGGATACTTAATCTAAGGTGGCGCCATGGGCTTAAGCCCAGAATGTTTTCAGCAAAGCCAAGGATCCTTACTGTAAATCAGGCTAGGATGAGTTTCTTATACATTATAAAGCTTTGTTTAAAATAGTGTAGTGTTGTTTAAGTTGACATGAGCTGTTTTGTGACATTTCACAATGCTAATAAAAACATTTAGTTCTTGAAGCCCATATTTCACAATATTTATCGATCAACGAGTGACTCTAAAATGAAATCAAGTCTGGCTACTGCTCTCGCTGACCTTGGATACTCCCTCGTACTTAATCAGCAGAAAGATGATCTCCTGCCTAAATAGCCATAGAAGCAGCACATTAGTAGAAATTGATCTTTTTCAAATGTACTCAATACTCTCTGTGTTGTCTTTTTTTTAACCTGAAAATACTGTTAGCGTCTTAGAGAAACTGAGTTAAAAAATGTACTAAAAATATAATATATACAGTGCAGCTTTATATGGCATTGCAGCATTGATTTGTATGATTATCACAACCTTAAAAATTGGCCTGAAAATAAGAGTAGATGGAAAATGTTTGATGCTCCCAGTAGGCCGGGCCTACTACCGTGTGAAAATGGGTTTGAGTGCAATCCACGTGTCCACATATTACGTCATTGGTATTAGGGTGGTAATGTGTGGCCGTAGCTAATGTGTGGAGGAGGTACGGAGAAAGTGACAGCGGGTGGAGGGTCTTTTGAGCAGAGCAGCTGTTGGCGATCGGCACAGAGAAGAAATTAGCGCTAAAGCTGTCTTGCTATTAAACACATTCACAGACTTATGAAATGAATCCGCCTCTGATTATCAGGAATAAATAGGGTGCGAAGGATAAGTACGCAACATCACTGCCTTTCTGACTCTGTGTATTTCTCTTTTTGGGAGCCACATGCAAAACACGCATGCTATAGTACTCCAGCACCTGTTTTCTACTAAACCACTACCCTACATTTCCCACCATCAACCTCTCTACAAGGTGACTCATATTATGTTAGTGGTGGTGCTGTGTGTAGTCTGTTTGATGGGAGAATCTGTTCCTGCGTGGATCCCATCAGCAGCTGACGGTTAAATCGAGTTAGCTTGTTAAAGCTACCCTGCTTGTCTGAAGACCTTGGTTCCTGTCTGTTTGCTGGCTCTCAACTTTGACTCTCAAACGGCATCAGCCACTCACTTCATCTTCCCGTGTGTGCCATAGGAGGGAAACCATAATGTTGTTTTGCCACCTTTTGTTGAGACCTTACCCTGAAACTGATGTGTTCTCCATTGAATGGCCAAATGAATGAACACGTATACACACACACACACACAGCTCGCTCACACAGTGGCTGTGCAGATATCTTGTCGCATGCTGCAACCACTAACATCTGCTGCTACTGTTGCTATGGCAACCACTCAGCTGCCACTCCAAACTGTGTAACCATGGATACTTCAGACTGGGTAACATCACTCCCCTGTAGTTCACAAGTTATGTACGATGGCATATCGTCTTTAATATAATGCGACGCCATCAGGTTTTTAGCAAATATTATATCTGGGTGTCGAATGAAAGAGGGCAAAGGATTTGGTTTGGTGATTGTGTTTGTGGCTTGGATATCTGCTCAATAATGAGTTGAATGTGTGTGTGAATGCATTTGTTGTCAAGGTAATAATTCAAGTGGTTTGGACTAGAGATGATTCCCAGCCCTTTGATATGTGGCCAAGCCTGTTTTTGTCCATTTGTGCACACACAATAATATGCAAATCAAAGCACATCTGTTGTATCACAATTAAATGAATTGGAAATCCAGAAATAACACCAACAACTTTGATATTTATCATTCACTTTTTTCCAAAAGTAAATATATAGTGCCAGACTAACAGCCTGCATGTGGTGCAGACAAGACGTGGCACATCGGCCAGCCCTTTAAACGTGCTACAGGTTGACCCAGAGGTAATGGAGTTGGTTATGCAGTGTTTAGAAACTAAACTGATACTGAATTTATTTATTTACGCTTTTTTAATACAGAAATATCAACACACAACGTTGCTCTACTGCGTTGCATTTCCTCTGATAGAATAAATTATTTATGTTTATCCTTCAGTATGATTAAGTTAGATGCTGTATTTTTGTATAACTTATTAACTAAGTTTTAAATATCTGGTCCTCTTGCACAACTGTGTTGACTGTAAGCTGTTGAGTCGGCTTGGTTTGTGTGCATCAGACACATGTAAAGATATGTGTCAAGTCAACTATAGACATTACTGGAAGAAAATGCATAGTGTGTCGTTTTTTTTAACTGATTTAAAATGCTTAGTCCATAGGATAATTTAATAATAATCACTTATTTTAAAATCGGATGTTTCCCAGTTGAAGATGTCCCAATTACCTTTTGTCAAATCATTATTAAATGTCATTGTACAAACCAGCTGCGTAGCAAAAGCAGCATCTCAGACGATTAAAACCCTGTCATGTGATCGTTTCCTTTCATGTGTTGCTAGGTAGTGTTTATTTATTTCAACAGAAATATGAGATAATGGGAACACCAGGAAGTTCATATGTTTTAAAAAAATGTAACCTTGAGCCTATGTGTACAATAAGAGACCAGATGCCAGTATGCTTACTACTAAAGTAGCATTTATTGATATTTTCAAGAATAAAGCTACAGGTTAAGAGTACAATTTCCAGAGGTAAAAAGCCATTAAGTACTGTTATAACCAATAAGACTGTATCGGTTCATGTTCTTACATGAAGTACATGGCTGGATATAGAAATATTCTATCCTATAAAGCTGGCTGCTGTTCATTTAGCTAATGCAGGTGCAGTTACAGGCCGATAACACGTCCTCTCAGTTTGGTAATGCTCTTAGCCTGCTCGGGCTGGCCAAAGAAGCTTTTAAGCTTGATACTCTGTCTCTTTAGGCATAAAGCTGTGCTATTTCTGGATATGATGAGCAATGGTCACTATTTAGTTGGAATGTTTCTCTAGGAATATTAAGTAAACAGCACATAGAATTTATTACAGATTTGATTAAAGGTGGGTTAGGTAATTCACTTCAGAAACACTTTGTTATATTCCATGGAATGCTCTTAACACCCCGATAGCAATGAATATCTTAAATGCTTTGACAATAAATACATAAAAAAATGTCATCTGTGGAAGCCGTAATACTGTAAAAAGCACGACCAATCATTTTAGCCGGCCCGGCTAAAATAACTGGATGGCCTACCTGCCTGTCAGCCTTCCATCTGTGCACAAACTTATCTCGTGCCCTCATTGGTCATGTGCGCGTCCGTGTGTGTTGGAGGAGGGGCTCTGTAAGGAAGTGGCAGATTTTGTGTGGAGTTTGATTTGAATAAGGTTTTTTAAATATGTTGTATGTTTTTTTTAATATTTTACCTTGATGCTTATGCCAACTTTTCTTTTTTACATCAAATAGGATCAATGGATTCATTATATGTAATTTGATCTCTACTTTGAATCTAATGATTGCTAGGAATGTCTCTTTCTTAAAAACCCTGCCTCTGTCAGTTGAACACAGTTATAGCTGGGTTGCGAAGAGTAGAGTTGACATTAATGTAGGTGTAATAATAAGCCACGCTGTTGATCAAACATGCAAAATACCAGGGCTTTACTATTGTTAAACACAAACATGAATTCAATGTGTCTACTATGTTATTTATAGTTTTCACTTGTGATAAAATGGTACACTCTGGTATAACATAGTACAGGCCTGCAGTGTTTACTTCAAATTCAGTGTCCCTTTTTCTTATTCTGTCCTGTATCTTTTTTTTCTCCCACAGGTAGCAGTGGTTCTGTTTCCCAGCCGGAGCCATGGGAGCGTTCCTGGACAAACCCCGGACGGAGAAGCACAACTTGCACGACGAGGGCAACGGCCTGCGCTACGGGCTGAGCTCCATGCAGGGCTGGAGGGTGGAGATGGAGGACGCTCACACAGCCGTGCTCGGACTTCCTGCTCCTGGTATGACTGACTGGTCCTTTTTCGCCGTCTACGATGGTCACGCTGGCTCAAAGGTTGCCAACTACTGCTCCAAGCATCTTCTGGAACACATAATGAGTGCTAGCTTAGGGACCCAAGGCCCTCCTGCTGGGCCAGACGGCTCCACCGGTGACCCTCCAGCGCTGGCTCTTCCTACAGTAGAGAATATCAAAACTGGGATCCGGACAGGCTTCCTGAAGATTGACGAGCACATGCGCAGCTTTTCTGACCTTCGGAACGGCATGGACCGTAGCGGCTCCACAGCGGTGGGGATCCTCATGTCACCCGAGCATTTCTTCTTCGTCAACTGTGGCGATTCTCGAGGCGTTCTGTACCGCAACTCAAACGTGTGTTTCTCCACTCTCGACCACAAGCCTTGCAACCCCCGCGAGAGAGAGCGCATCCAGAACGCCGGCGGCTCGGTGATGATTCAGAGGGTTAACGGGTCACTGGCTGTTTCAAGGGCCTTGGGGGACTATGACTACAAGTGTGTGGACGGGAAGGGCCCCACAGAGCAGCTGGTCAGCCCCGAACCCGAAGTCTATGAGATGGTTCGGGCCCCGGAACAGGATCAGTTTATCGTCCTGGCCTGTGACGGCATCTGGGACGTCATGACCAACGAGGAGCTCTGCGAGTTTGTCAAATCTAGGCTTGAGGTGTCCGACGACCTGGAAAGAGTCTGCAATGAAGTGGTGGACACCTGCCTGCACAAGGTGTGTACATGTTGGGTTTCAGCATGACCTTTGTGGGTTTTTACTGTGATTGCTCATAGATTATTGAGATTGACTGTGGCACATTCAGGCTGTTAGATGTAGATAAAGTTCGTAAGAGTTTTTGTTTTTTTATGCAAGCTGTAACAACTTCACATGAGCAGTTTTGAACATGGAAACTTAACATGAATATAACATTTTCCTAAACACTGGCATTCTGTAGGCTTGAAAAGTGGATATTATTCATTATTCCTGATCAGCTGCAGAATTTAGTTAAATATAATGGATTCAAAATGTAAAAAGCACAATGGTAATCACCCGCTACTTTTTTTCACTTCTGGGTTTGGATGCAATTGTGTTCCTTCAGCTGCTCTAGTGTCAGTACATTTTAAACAATACATTATATTTGGGATAATTTACCCGACTGGCAGTAAGAGTTATTACAAAAAACAGCTAAGTAGATGCACGTTTGCAAACTATTTCTCAACGTGGAAGCGCCTTAATTCAGTCAAAGAGCAAGGTGAATACAAAACAGCCTATTTTTGTAAAATGATTGACATGAAGCCGTCTGTTTTAACCTCCCTGTGATTCATGTTGCAGACTGTTTGAATACTTCTGCCTTGGAAATCTTCATTATTTCTTTCAGCACTTCACAATAACTCCTTCTCTTACTTTCTCCTCTTCACTCCTCTCTCCTCCCGTTCGTCTCAGGGGAGTCGGGATAACATGAGTGTTGTGTTAGTGTGTTTGCCCAACGCTCCCAAAGTGTCGGAGGAAGCTGTGAGGAAAGACGCTGAGCTCAACAAATATATGGAGTCTCGAGTGGAAGGTGAGAATGGCCGGGTGAAGACCATTGTTACTGTATGTACAAACATAATAGGATCTTTGAATATTATACATTATATTGTATATATATACATACAATATATCATTTTTAGAATATTTCATTAATTTTTCCTAAGTATTAAAGTCCCATGTCATGCTTTTCCGGTTATTACCCGTCCCCTTGTGTGTTATGTAGCTTTGTATCCCTCCATCCAAATGGACCAATCCGTGGAGCTCCTCACACACATACACACTCTCTCAGTGGCTAAACTGTGACGCGCTGGGGGGGGGGGGTGCTAGTGGAGCCTCGCAGCGGCGAAACTGTGGCGCGCTTACACTGCTGGTGCGCCACGTTTGGGGGTGCGGGTGAGTGGAGCCTCGCAGATGGGGACCAGCAACCCCCCCTTCCCGCGTCCATTCGCGATTTCTCGCTGTCTCGCAGACCCCACGCAGCAACCAGGAAATGACACCAGTAAGCCAGCTCATACTGTCCGCTCCTCGCAGCAGCGAGCCGCGCAACGTCCCGCCAACACGGCACCCAGACCCCACGCAGCATTCTCATCTGTTTGTCATTACTGGTGTCATTTTCTGGTTGCTAACAAATGCCATTGTAACACATAATCACTGATGTTCCGCTGTAACGGTGGTGGACTCATCAGAGCACAGTGGGCTCATAGGGAAGGGGGGGGGGGGGGGGGCAGGAGCTCCAACAAGCCGTTTAGGACAGAGAGTGAATACACATACTATACAGAGATGCTGTATGAGAAACCAATATGAGTTTGGAAAATTGAACAATGTAAATCTATTCTAGTAGACCTCAACAATGGAATTATGATCAGTAGAAATGGCCATGACATGGGACCTTTAAGTTTTGATGTGTGAATATAAGGTCATTAAATAGGTATAGACTTGTATTAAATAGGGATTTTGAGTAACACCAATGTTGAAATCTTTGAATAATTGATTATAAAATTTGTATAATGTCAATACATTTCGGTAATTTTAGGTTTTTAAACCGCAATCCCACCCGTTATTGTTGTATATAAAGGTGTAATTGTAAAAACAGGTTTTTATTTGAGCTCTTACAAAGTTTTTCTTGGAGACTCGGGCTCTTCTGATCTGTTTGCATGTTTTCTCCACTCAATGACCCTGCCACTGTCTATTGTAAAACCTCCAGCCAAGTTATCTCCGGCTCACAGCAGAGGAGTGACACCATCCTGACCTCCTTTTCCATTTCAGCAAGCATCTCCCCTCTCTATTCCCTGTTCTATCCTCTCCTCCCTCTCCTCCCTGAACGCATCTTTCTCCCCCCTTTCTCACTCAAACATTCCCTGTCTTGTTTGGATAGATTCCCTGCTCCTGTCTTTATATCTTCTTTTTTATCATTTCATCCTTCTTTTATGAAGATGACTTCCGATGAACACAGTGTAGTTTTATACTCCTTGTTGGTTTCTTCAACACAAGGGCTACTGTTTGTGCAAAACAAGGGTTTGTCAGATTTCTGCTCACCTAATACCAATGTTTTCTTGATCCACAGAGCGGTAAAAAAACCCTGGGTCTAGCACATCTATTGTAAGATTATAAAAAGCAGGTGGTAAAACCAGGAGGTAGTTATTGTATAAAATGGTTAAATAATGAATGCTGAATGGTTTAATAGGAGCACCAAAGTGGGTTCAAATGATTTCCCAAATCAGTGTAAACATTGATGCGAAATGTATTCGGGTGTTTGGCTTCAGATACCGTCTAATACCGGAAGAGAATAGAAAGAGAGGAATGCTCTGGCTGAACATTGACCTGGCTTCATGCCACTCTCAACTCAGCTGCAGGATTCTCTCAGATATTCACTTTCCATCTTCACTTCTTTCCCCCTCATTTGTCACATTTTTAGTTCTCCCTCCTCTCTTCTTCTCTCCCTCTCCTCTCTTGTCTCAGCTGTTCTTGGCGGTCAGCAGCTCTGTGAACACTGTCTTTGTAACATCATGCTGTTGTTTCAGAGATGCTGTCTCGGCCCGGGGAGGAGGGCTTCCCTGACCTGGTAGCAGTGATGAGGAGCCTGTCCACCGACATCGGCATGCCCCCCCTTCCACCAGGGGGAGGCCTCGCCAGCAAGTAAGAACCAGCACCCTCTGAAAGACTCTGTGTTACTTTAACAGGATAGTTGTATGTTAATCTGGAGTCATAAGCATCTGGTATAAAAATATCAGAATCAGAAACAGGTTTATCAACAGGTAGGTTTAATTACACGTATGAGAAATTTGACTTGGTGTCGTGGTGCATACTTAAAAGTAAAACAAGAATTAAAAACACAGGTAGAGAACTAGACAAATATTAAAAATAATAACAAATATAGTAAAATATAACAGTATTTACATTGCAATGGAATAAAATATGGAATACAAATTTGCAGTAAAAAAACAGAACAGAACAAGAAATATTAATATGAAAATATAATGTTAAAAAAAAGGCAGTTATCTAGTTTTAGAAAAAAAATGTATGTCATTGGGACTAAATAGAAATATTATTCAAAGTTTGCAGTTTACTTCACCTTTCTGTAGCTTGTTTCTGTTTGGATGGATGGCTTGAATTGAATAGCTAATGAAACCTAATCACTTTTTTGTGTCTTCCCCTTCCTGCAGACGCAGTGTTATTGAAGCAGTATACAACCGTCTGAACCCATACAGGGAGGAAGATGGGGTCAGTATCAGTATATTCAATGTATATGAGCCTTGTCGTTTTTTGACCATTTGTACTCAAACTTAAAGTGGACCTATCATGCTATATTTAAATAATATATTGTAGGGCCATACCTATATAAAACATGTCTGTGAAGTTCTTTTTTCAAAATACCAAACAGATCATGCATTTTAGCCATGCCTCATTTCGTTCTATTTGCTCTTTTCCAGCCCTGTTTTTGCAAGGGCTGATTCTGTGAGAAGTCTTCTTCGCTGCTTTTGTGGCAGACTACAGCGCCACTTACAGGCCTGGCATATGTACTACAGCGTCTCCAGCGCTTTCGAGCGGCAATGGCCGTGGCCCAACCCCACATTCCCCTGATAGGTGGAGAGTTGCCCATATAGGCGGAGCTCCCCGTTTCTGACGTCAGAACAATTTCAAATCTGTATCAGCTCCGTTGCAGCCCCGTTTTTAGAGATTTGGGTATGGAGGAAAAGAGAGAGGGTTGTGTTTTCTGACACTTGGTGAGTTCCCTGACACACCAGGGACACATATTCATGTATAAAAGACGTACAAAAGTGCATTTTGCATGATAGGTCCCCTTTAAATGTTATACTAAGTCATAACATCTGAGTTTTAAGTCGCCTCGTCTCGTGGAGCAGGCTGTTGGTATCTGTGTGTTCCATTTTTCTTCCCACTCAAACCACAGCAGGTTAAATATTCAAACTTACCTCAGTGCCAAGCACATCCTTTCATTCCTTTCGATAAACATTTGTTTGTTTTTCTGGGCATTGTGCATGATGCGCACCTTCCTCTCAGCCCTGGTAATGGCCTGTGCATGCATGACAACACAGCTTTGTCCAGAGTCTTTCTTGCGGAACCTTAGCACTTTCACCAAATCCAGCGACTGCAAGAGAAATAATTTTGTTCTTATTTATTTGTTGAATTTGTTTCTCTGTGTTCCACTGTGTGCATCGAAGATTTCTTTGAGCAGTTTATTTGTTGTCCTAACTCAAAGCTTCCCCAATCAGCCTGTGTTCATGAGACAGGAACCGTTAGCGCTGTCCTTTCTTTGTAGTTGGTCATTATGTTCAGTATGTTCCAGAGATCCAAATGCGCAGCTGTCTGTTTTGTTAGTTGTTCACCTTTGTTGCATTCAGCTATGTTGGTGGTGAACCACTGTAGTAAATAAAACTAAAGTATCGTATGCTATCTTAATCCGAGTTCTCTTTTAGTAGAGGTGAATAAAGGCTGTGGCTGCTATTTGAGTATTGTAGGAGTCTGTACAGATCAATAGTTGGTGATACACTCCAGTTAATTGTGTCTAAGGATGTTGTGTAGCTGGCAGACGTTGTATACTTTTGGGTTCTGCCAATATCTTGATTTGCCTGTTTTACAGAAACATGCCTATTTCTTACACAATGGCTTGAAAACAGGGAGTCAATAACATCTGTGTCGCCTTGTCACTTTATTTGATGTTGCAGTGATCGTGTTCAAATATATGAGTGTTTTTCTGTGATGGATCCGATGTGTCTGTGAGGGAATGACGCACTAACATCAAATATGACACACTTTAATAATTGTTAGCGTGTGAGATGTTTGGTAGCTGGTGTTGAGAGTGAGGTGATGTTGATGGCACCTTGTTTTGTTGTCTGTGAGGACGAAGACCTAACTTAAATCAGCTATTTGTAGAGTTTTTGTGATTACAGCCAAATGATTGTGATGTTGACTATCCTCGGGTAACTCGGTGTGGTTTGTGATTCAAATTCTACACATAGTGGCTTTAAATAGAAATTGTAGCCATCATAAGAGCAAGAATATTGAAGGAACACTGTTTTATTAAGGTTTGGCTAGCATATGAAGTATTTGTGGTTTAAGTTACATATTTACCAGTAAAATGGCCCTTAATAACATTTTGTGGCAAACTTGTGCTACTTCACAACCGCCCATATTTAGAGTTTAGATTGATGTTTCAACAGATAACCAACCATATGGTAATTTTACAGTACTTCAGAGAAGAAAAAAGTTACATTGGATTATGGATATTTATCCATCATTAAATAAATCTTTTTTTTTTCTCTCTGAAGAAATGTTATTAATCTTACCAACACTAACAAGGGAACTGTTCCACTCTCACACACACACACACACACACACACACACACACACACACACGGGATGTGTCGATTTGTCTAACTGTGTGTTCACCCTCTGATTAACGCAGCCCTCCTGTTTCATTTGGTAAGTGACCACATATATAAATGTTACACCCCCCTTTCTTCCAACCCATCTACACGCACACCTTACTCACACACACTCCTACAGGCATGTAAGTGGTGACCTTACCCCCCCCGTCACTCCCATCAGTTCTCTCTAGCATGTGGATCTCCGTGACTTTAAGGCGTGTTTGTACGTCTGTGACATCACTGTCGAGGTTTAGGGAGGATGAATGGTCGTTGTCTTCTGGTCCTGTCCGCCCCCCCCCCACCCCCACCCCCACCCTCTCAAATCACACGTATACGACCCTACACGCATGCACCTTCCTCTCTCTCTGTCTTTCCACAACTGCACGCAACAGTCTTCGTTTCTGTGTCCCTCTCTGACGAAAGGCCTTGGAGTTGTTGTGTTGGCGTATTGTTGCGGCAGGAACACACACTGAGGTGTAAAGTGTGCCCTGGCTTACGCTGCTATTGTAACTTTGTGCTTCTTTTTGTCGTGCTGATTATAGGAAAACCTGGCCTTGAAGTCCAGGTTGGGGAACAAAATCATCGAATTTCACTGAAATGATTGTGTTACTGTACCTAATAACAATGTGCGCTCCTTTTCATCATGCTCTCCCATCTTCTTTTCCATCTCTCCTTTTCCTACCATCTTCCCCTCCATTGCTTTCCTCTTGCAGAACGGAGCCGAGTTGGAGTACCACTGGTAGCTGTCCAGCCCGACTGCCTGATCCAAAAGGAAAAAAGACAGGACCACACGAGATCACATCCATAGTCACCCTTTTAATTTCCTCTGGATTTTTTTTTATTTGTACTCCTCACACTAAGAGATCAATGGCAGCAGAAATCCTGGTTTTAACACACTCGCACACTCTTTGTAGAGGACTACAAAACAGATTTAGGTTCTTTCTGTAGAACAAAACGGGGAACAAAAAGAACAACTGCGTTAATATCGGAAAAGCTATACAGTATATACTTCAGAGAGGCAAACAAGCACACTTTCTCTTGCCACTCGTTTTCCTTGCTTTCTTTGTGGTGGTAGTTTTTGTCGCCGATTGAGGAAGACCCAGGTGAGGAAGACCCAGGAGCCGCCCTGAACGCTTTGGTGCCTTCCTCAGAATTGAGAGAGAAGGGAGACCCTCGAACCCGACCGTCAGCCCGCCATTCCCCAGCCAGTCGCTCAAAGACGTTTGTAAGATCCTGAATGGACTGAAGGGGATTATTTGGCTGCAATTTGTGGCATTATTTGATCACACCGAGGGACCACACAAGACCACCCCCCCCCCCCCCCCTCCAGGATCTGGTGTGCCTCGCTGCAGATTTGAATTACGAGGAGTTGGTTTAAGCTCAAGTGTGATAACTGTTCTTGCACGTCCCTGCTCACTTTCTCTCCGCCTGTATCTTAAAGGATGTTAACAAAACATTAGATTTCTCTCTCTTCCCCTCTGCTCTGTCTTTTCCTTTTCCAGAACCACAAGCATTCAGCCTGCTGTTGTTTAACAGATAGAAATTATATATTAAAGTCATATACATATATATATATATATAGCTATATTTTGATTTGTTTGTTTCATCTTAATTCACAGCTATGGTATTCGTCGTTGCCTAACGTGCGTGTGGTCTTTGTTCATTTAGTGTGTAGACAAATAAAAACACAAAAAAGTCAAAGTTGCACGCACAGTTTTCCCGCACAACATCGGTCCAAAGACAGGGTTTTGGGATAAAGGAATCTTCAACACACACAATCCTGCTTGCGCTGCAACTTGCCTTTTCTATCTCCAATATCCTGTGTACAAAAAACAAAAAATGCCTTTTTTTTTTGTTTTAATTGAAAAATATTCCATTCATTTCTTTGTAATGTTTTTTTTGTGCTATATATGGCTTTTCAAAGTACTGTGGCTGTGGTCCTATTACAGATGGGTAATACAATGATGAGGGGAGCATGAGATATACCTTGTACAGAACATTGGGAGGGATTTTGTTGGTGTTTCACTGGACGAAGTAACAGAGGGACACTGTCACTAATGGCTGTCCTTCAATTGTTCATAGACTTTGCCTCAAAGGCAGCGGGCTCTGGCGTTGGAAGCCCTGGTTTGACTCTTTGGATCGACCTGGAGTTCATTTCCTTTCTGTAAAACCCTAGCACTAATAAGTGATTGAAACAAAGCCTGTTCTTTTTAAATATTTTTAACAAATGTGCGCATAGACAAATTGGGGTACACATACTTTGCATGTGTATTCTTTCCCGTAGATGCATTAAAAATAGGCTTTAAGTATATACAAAACTGTAATATACACTCTTTTTTTCAATCATTCAATGGCAAATTCATTGAGCTTTCTGAAGTGGTAGTTTTGAAAGAGAATAGGCCTAACAGTTTGCTGATTTGTATTGTTCTTGTGGTACACTTGCTCTTGGTGCCATATGACGAATAGGTACTTGAATGTGTAGTTCTTTTGCAGTTGTTTTAATGGGATGATTGATTTTTTTTCTTTGTTTGTGGTGGAGGGTGTGGGTGGGTGGGGGGGGGGTCTATAGTTGTGCATGTTTTGTGATTGAGGGAGGAGTGTATTTTGTGTGTGAGATGTACTGGGCGGATGGGGGTAATGTGGGCATGTTCAGTGTGGTGGAACACAATGTTGGAAAGATAAGTGAGGTTAAAAGTACAAAATAGAGAAAAAACTGGAACAAAATGCAGGAAATTATTATTTTTCTACAACCTTTCATCCTCCATGTTATGGTCAACATCTTTTTTTTGACCCCCAAAATAGTTTTTTCCCCACTTGATCTAATTTGAGATTGTTCCTGAATTCAAATCACTACCATTGTGGATTTCTTAATATTCTGCTTGATATTTTTTAACATTGTATTAGGTTTCACCAAACTGAACAAAGTCCTCTTTTTGGGTTTATGTTTAAGCTATAACAGACACTGGGCTAGGAGAGGACTTAAGGAAGGAGAAACCTTTATTTTTCTGAATGTAATTGTTCATTATTCACACTGATCCCACTGCATGGACTGAGTACAAGCAGCACTCTCTCATCATCTGTCATTTAGTGACAAAACAAGCTCTCTTTGCTCCCTTTTTATTTTGAAAAAAAACCAATACACATTGTTCTGGTTGTGGAATCTCAAGATTCACAAGAGGCTTTGGTGTTCAATAGGAATACTTAGATCATGGGTTCTTGCTTTGATTTAATGATATGTTAAGTAAGGAGCATTTTAAAAACCATACAGTAATTCTGGGCCGATAGGGTTCATGTGACCGTGAAGACTTTAGAGCATCATAAGACAGACATGACATTCCTCACGTGGGCATTTTAGTATGGATATGATCCCTTTTACTCTTTACCACCTCCTTCTATCGTCTCTCTTTATATACATACTTAGAATTGTATGATGGCAATGATAAATTCCACTCTTGTTTTTTTTATTTATTCCAGTGCTTTTTAGCTCTTATAAGAATGCTGTATTTTGAAGACAGTATAAGGTAATAAGCTGGTGTGCATTTGAGAGTAATGTATGACCCACTCTCCTTCATTTTGACCTTTCAGAGGACAAAAGAAGGAAAGTTTGAGACGCAGAGGTATTCACAATCCCTTCTTCCTGTACTAATTCCCCAGTATGCTATTGTGATGTTACAGACCATACAGTGAACATAAACGTCAATAAAAGATGGATTTAAGTTGAAAACGGTTTAAACTGCTATGCTTGTTGTTTTTTCCAGTGCCAATTTCAAATGTCAACTTTGTGTCTTTGAGCTTTTCACTAGAACAGAATAGGAAGTTTGCAGATTTGTATTGGTCTTCTCCAATGACAGTTTGTGCTCTGGGTAACACATTGTTCAGTGCAAGGTCAGACAAATAGACTTTGTAAACAAAATAAGTCGCTATGTAATTTAGTAATTTTTTTGGCACAGCCTGCTGTCATCTTAAGTATTAAAGGGCCCATGTCATGGCCATTTCTACTGATCATAATTCCATTGTTGAGGTATACTAAAATAGATTTAAATTGTGCAATTTTCCAAACTCACATTGGTTTCTCATACAGCATCTCTGTAAAGTATGTGTATTCACCGGTATTCACGCTGTCCTAAACGGCTTGTTGGAGCTCCTGCCCCCCCCCTCCCTGTGAGCCCAGTGTGCTCTGATTGGTCGGGACGTTTGCGAGGCTCGTTGCTGCGAGGAGCGGACAGGCTTCCGGGTCGGCGATACAGCGAGAACAAGCTAAACTCATCCTGAGCGCACACACAAACACTCACAGCCGAAGTCAAAACAATAAGTGTGGCTTGATATTGAGTAAGAAAAAGGTCAAAGTCAGCTTTATTGTCAATAATTCTACATGTTGTACATCCAGAAATATCGAAATATTGTTTCCCGCAGTCCTACAGTGTGACATATACATCAAACAAAAAACAAAAAGGGCCTAGATAAACATACACATTAAACAAAACAAAGGGCCTAGATAACCGGGGTATACAGTTTAAAATGTTAATATAATTTAAGTGTTCAAAGTACAGTTTCAGTGCAGTAGCAGCGGAGATGGGCAGAAAAGTGAGTTTAGGGGGTTAGAGTCCAGGACCATTTGGGGCAGGGGAGAAAGGTCGGTGGCAGGGGGGAGAAAGGTCGGTGGCAGGGTGGAGAGTTCAGGGGAGAGATGTCAGAGGGCGGAAGAGATGGAGGGAGGGGAGAGAGTTCAGCAACCCTTTATAACGCTGTGAGAATGGGTCTGCAGAGAGTATTTCTCCGCGATCCCAACTTAGTAGCCCGAAAAACGTTTACCCATTTAAACAGTCGTGGTAGATACCTTGTTTGTTTTAAACATCATAAATACACAAACAACAATGAATACTTACAGGTTGTGTACCCGAATCTCCCGCTGGTCCAAACATTATATAAATGTCATGTTCTTAAATGTTGTATGTGAGGGACTACGGATGGAAACTAGCTCAAAGCTAAAATCCGGCATGTTTATGTTTTTAAAGCATTATTTGTTTTAAATGTTCATCAATGTGCACTGTCCCTCTTCAAATAAACGATTAAATTAAATTAAAAAACAAAGTAGGAACAGCATCGTTCTTCAGTGCCCTACGCTGTACATATCCGGCATGAATCGCTGAAAGGTTTGTGAAGCTTTGTTTCGAGAAATGCTGGCAGAGGGTGTGGCCTCTGGGTATTCATACGTCACAGTACCCAGGAAGTAAACGATGAGAAATCTGCAACGAGGCGTTTTGGGGCAGCATAGACTGTGTAAGCCCCTACACACCAGGCAGTCACCAGAGAACTCGCCGACATCCGACACCGACAGATCCATCGACGAGTTCTCCTGCGTCTTGGCCGTGTGTACACCGCTTTACTTCAGCGGAGCACGTACGAACTGCGCATGCGTGAGTGGCAATAACTCTCCTTACCAGCAGGCGGCGGTAGTGTGTATTCGTCATTCAAAATAGGCAACAACCGGAAGACAGAGAAGAAGAACAGACTGATATAAACAAACAAATAGCATGTGCGTTCCATTTTCACTCTCGTCCATCGAAAACATGTTTTAGAATATAAAAATACATGAATGATGAAATGAGCACATAAAGTGCAGACATACTATAAAATCACAGTTAATAGACCTGCATCTGATGATCGCAGTGTTCTGGCGGGTGTGTAGTTTATTGAGTCAGCAATGTAATAATGGCCACTTCTTGCTAAATTTACGATGAGATGAAAAACCGGACTTGACCAAACAAATCACGGAGCTCTCAGCAGAGGACAGCCGGGGACGCTCCCGCCGATATCAGAGATGTCCCTGCTATGTGTGGGAGGTAAGAGAGGACATTTAAGGGCTATGTTTGATGTCTTTAAGTATCACCTGCTGGTGTTTAGCTGCTGTCCTGTGCCTTAAATCGTTTGTTTACGTCCCTCACTTCCGTTTCGCTTCTCATTTGCTAGCTGAACAGCTGATCAGAGTGGTTTCTTGGCCCGATAGCTTGTGTCCGACACCCGGCCGATTCAACATGTTGAATCGGCCGGGTGTCGATCGTGAAAGGCCAAATAAGGCGTGTCACGGCCGAGGGTTCGGGACACACCAAATTGATTTTGGGCGACAAGGAACCCGTTTTCGCCCAACAACGCAAGACGGCCGATATCGGCCTGGTGTGTAGGGGCCTATTCGCGTTTCCACTACACGGCCTCGCTCGGCCCCGCTCGGTATGGCTGGGCCTCGTTAGGACTGGCTCACTTTATGGCGCATTTCCATTACAGTTTAGGAACTGGGGCAGTATCTATAGTAACGCAGTGTAGGCGGAGCCGTGACGTGATCTTCAGAGAACCCCAGAAAAACAACACAGCCGTTAGCTGTTAGCACTCAGAGCTCACAGCTCCTCATATATGTTCAGAAACTAGACAAAAGTTAAACAAGTACAAACCACAGACTGCCTGTGTCATGGTGAATACAGTCGCTGCTTTATTTATGTCTGTATAGGCCGTTGTTGTGAGTGTGGACGGTCGGGGCATATACTGCGTTAGCTTAGCCAATCTCCATTTAGAAAACAAGCATTTTAAAAGGTTTTTCGCCTGCCGTCTGTCTGCAGACTTGACAAAGCATTAATTCATGATTTTTACTAACCGGTATCAGTATGTTGTTACTTCGGCATCATTTTGAAACGTGTATTACAATTAAATCACGGTCAAATATGTCCATCTTGTTGTAGTTGTTGCCCCCTTGCCAGCGACGCTCTCTCTAGTTTAGCATACTCAGCCCGACTCAGCCTCGTTGTCTCGGCCCTGGCCCCACGATTTTATGAGGCCAGAAAATTGAATTAGGACCCGCCGGCCGGTACTAGGCCAAGTGGAAACGCAACCAAAGACGGGCCGCTGACGTCACAGCCCTCTTAAACCGGGCTGCGGGCTGTAGTGGAAACGCGCCATTAGAGTTTCACTCGCTACATGGTGTACTTTGAGGGTTTTTGACTCTGCAGACCGTTTACATGCATAAAAACCTTCATAACACACAAGGGGACGGGTAATAACCGGAAAAGCATGACATGGGACATTTAACATAATTTGGGATATGGGAGAAATTATCTAAATGTTTAGATTAGCGTACAATGTTCTTAGATTATGTTATATTACATGTTTAATAGATCACACTTTACTTGGCAGTCTTTTTTTTTCTCCCACTTAATTTGGTTTAGTTATATTTATGTATTTTGTGGTGTGCAAGACATCATACATACTTAAAGACAACAATGTTTTCGATTTAAATGTCTCAATAATACATCAATTGCATTTAAGAGACCACACAAACCAAGAAAGTTCCTGCTTAATTTCTGTTGTTCCTCTCCCACAATAATATCTCTTCAGTACAGATGTGAGGTACTTGGGTATAGATATTTACAGCATATCATTTAATATTTTCTTTAATGTGACAGCTGTAGCTACTTTTTCCACAAAGACAATGAGCTTTTTTAGTACATTGTGGTAAAACTAATATTTTTAATGAATGGCTTTTGACCTAGAGTATTTTCACACTGTGGTATTTCCACTTCAATTGAGGTTAGGGGCATGCAGACCTGTCCCACCACATATTTCAGCCAACACTGCAACAAGAAATGCTAATCTCCCTCATTCCCATTCAACTCTCCAGTTCCCACATTCCTCAGGTGGCACTGCTCTGTGTGAGTGTGTGTGTGAGAGAGAGAGAGATACAGAGAAGTCTGTGTGTGTGTGTCAGTGTGTGTACTCTGACCCTCTAAGTGCAGTATATATATTGGGCTCTTTCAGTCACTCGGTCTTCCTGAAGAAGAGCAGCGTGTTTTCCGGTCTTAAATAATCTTTAGATGAGTTTAAGAGAAGCCAGCGGTGGCAGCATGGAGCTGGGGGAGAGCACCATGAACCCGGGGTACCAGGATGCAGAAGGCGGGGGGTCAGCGGCGGACCAGAACCAGGACCTGGCGGAGGAGTACACGCAGATCAAGCCGTACGCCGGTATGCCGAAGGAGGTGCTGCTGCTGTACTCCTCCCAGGCCCGGTATCGCGTGCCCCGGGAGATCCTCTTCTGGCTGATTGTGGCCGGCATCCTGGCTCTGGTGGCTCTCACCGTCACGGTCATCGCGCTGTCCCCGCGCTGCCTCAGCTGGTGGCAGGCCTCCCCGGTGTACCAGGTGTACCCCCGCTCCTTCAGGGACTCCGACGGGGATGGGGTGGGAGATCTGAAAGGTGAGAAGAAGACCCCGCATATTGCTGTACTACAGAGGGGTGAAGTGATGACGTTTGTTTGTAGTCTGACCCGGAAGTTAGCGTCCCACAGGGGTCCATATTTATACATCCATGGCCCCTCCACAAAAGGCAGAGGTGGAAGAAGTAGCCTACTCAGATCTTGTACTTGAGTAAAAGTAGAAGTACCAGAGTGTAGGAATACTCTGATACAAGTAAAAGTCCTTAGGTCCTTAAAAGTATTATCATTAAAATATACTTAAAGTACCAAAAGTAAACACTTATTATGCAGATTGGCCCATGTTAAGGCTTTATACCCTTATGGGTAGCTTTACCTATAATATTATATTATAATGTGTGTTGATTTATATATTGACAGTTTACTATTTCAATGCATAATTCATAAAAAAATCTTCTGAAAAATAGCTTCCACCAATACCCATTGACTAACCAATGAAAACAACTTAATAGAGGTTTATTGTCACAAAAAACGAAAAATCTTCATTTCATTAAATAAATGGTGTTTCTCCTTAAGAAGTGTTTTAACTGTTTTGAAAAGGGCCTAAAATTAAATGAATTGTGTGAAAGCAAAGCAGTGATAAATAACCCAATTCAAAATAAAGTGTTAGCATTATATGAAGTTTACCCATGGATGCTGACTGTGTGTAAGCAATTGCCTCTGGACCAAGTAGCACAGTATTCCTCATTGTAGTGATTCTGGTCTTTAACAGGAATTCAGGAGCAGCTGCATCACTTTGAGTACCTGAACATCAAGTCAGTGTGGATCAGTCCTTTCTACCGCTCTCCCATGAAGGACTTCGGCTACGATGTGGAAGATTTCCGGGCCATCGACCCTCTCTTTGGGACCATGCACGACTTTGAAGAGCTCCTGGCTGAAATGCACAACAAAGGTGTGTGCTTTTAATTTCCTATGTGTATGTAGAGTTCTGATGGTGGATCAAAGTCTATGGGATCACCACATGTCTCGTTTTTATGGTAGCATGTCTGTGACTCTCTGTTTCCATTAGATCTGAAGCTGATCATGGATTTCATTCCCAATCACACCAGTGACCGACACCGCTGGTTCAACTTGAGCCGGACTGGAGATCCTCACTACAAGGATTACTACGTCTGGACCGACTGCAATGCAACTGCTCCAAAGCCCAATAACTGGGTTGGTACTGATTTGCACTGACATTTGAAATGTTAGGTCTTTTAAAATGTCAGAAAATAGTGAAAATGTCTCTTCCAGTTTCTCAAAGTCCAGGGGGATATACTTAATTGTCTTGTTTAGGTGAAGTATACAGTTTAGTATAGTATATATCTCGACATTTCCTAATTTGAGGGGCTGAAAACAGCATTTTCTGCCCTTTTTAACGCATATAATTAATAATTACACACAAAATCGTTGCAGCTCTACACCATTTGTCATGATAAGAATTAAAAAAACGATTATTTGGAGCAAAAAACCGATATAGTCACTAGATGGCAATTTTTAATGCCTAGCCTTCCTAACACTAATCTCTGACTACCTCCTCTCTCTCAGGTGAGTATTTTTGGGAACTCGTCATGGACTTATGATGACTTGAGAGGACAATGCTACCTGCACCAGTTCTTTAAAGAACAACCAGACCTGAACTTCAGAAACCCACATGTCCGCCAAGAGATCATCGTAAGATTACATGACCACACACTGCTCTCTCACATACATGATCTGCACTATTGACTCATTTCTTCAACCACTTTCTGTGACTCAAATATTGTCTCTCATACTCAAATCTTAGTCAGTGTTGACTCATGATCGTTAAGGTATCCACAAACTTGTGTAATCTGTAGCAATAACGCGTAATGGCCAACTGATCACACATTAACTGAAGCTAACCATTGTGATTTAACTGCCTGCAGCAAAAGCAATGGTAGAGCGTTCCTGTGTGCATATTGTGCTTGCTTATACTGACGTTAGTGTACAATGCAACAATTTAACAATAATCAAATACCTTCAGCACTTCAGTAGATTTAATAATTTTTTTATTTATGATTGTTTTCTAGGATATTATCCATTTCTGGTTGGGGAAGGGAGTGGACGGGTTCCGGATGGACTCTGTGAAACACATCCTGGAGGCCGAACACTTGAGGGATGAACCACAGGTGGACCCCAAACAACCTCCCGTGAGTGTCACCCTTTAACCCCTCATAACATCTAACCTCCTGGGGTTCACTTCAGTCTACCAGCGGTTCCCTCTGTCGGACACTCTGTTGGTGACAGGCAGCGATGTCCACCGGCTTAGTTCTCTCAGCTGTTTGTTCTCACATTGACTCGACGCCGCCCCAAACATGGTAACGTCTGTCTGATCTGCCGGCTGAAATTGATCCATATCAGATGACAGAGCATGGGTAACACATTTAACCCCACGCTAGGCCGAGCTTAAATAAGATTTAAATTCAGTAACTGACATCAAAGGGTGAAGAGTTTTTGAATCCAATAAAGTTGTAGTCATCACTTTGGAAAAATATCTTCAAACCTTAATTAATTAATTAATTAATACATTTGACAATGTTCTTTAAAAGCCAATACCAGCCCATATATGTTTTTAGACGGTCACAAGTTGTCATTTTCACTTACATTTTCCACAAGGTTCGTTTAATCAGTAAGGTATTTTTATGTTTCCATTTGACTTGTTGCCACTGGTCTTTTGTGCTCTTACCAGCTGGCAGTTGTTCTCCCTTTGAACTCAAAGTTCAGTTTTAGTTAATCTCTGTTGTAACACTCAGTTATTCAGTGATATTCAGATTTTGTATTGCTGAATTTTATAACGTGACATCAGAGCCCAGATCTATGGGATAAAAGCAGCTCTACTACAGAAGTACTTTGCTGTTGAGCAGGAAGAACAAACGTAGTGAAGCGCTGAGTGGGAGAGCTCACACTGCACATGATGTATCATTCAGTTATCTCAGGTTCATCATGTGCCCTTCTGGAGAAAATACTACCCTTGGTTTTCACAGGGTTCATGATTCATGCAGAGTTCAGCTCACTAAGAAAGTGTTTTTTCTGTCATGGAGATTGAAGGTATTTCTCCCAGAGGAAAGATTAGAGGCATATTTTGGTGGATTAGTAAATCATTGGGATTTACTTAACACTGAGACTGACTCGTCTACTGACCAGCCGTGGTAGAAGTAATCCTTTACTTAAAAAAGCAAAACAGTCTGAAATACTTTTTTTTAAAGTAAAAGTCCTAAAAAAAAAACTTTGGTAAGAAAGTATAAGAAGCTAAATGTACTTCAATATGAAACGTTAAAGTACTCATGAGGCAGAATGGCTCTTTTCACAGTGTTATAGAATATATATATTCTTTTTTTACGTCATATCATTTTAATATTATAGTTTGTCAATGTTGAGCCATTATTTTCATTTCATTTCAAACCTTTATTTATCCAGGTTGTATCCCATTGAGATCATTGACCTCTTTTTCAAGGGAGACATGCTCAAGTAGGTTCCACATGAAACATTAAAACATAAACAGAACAACAAAAGGACATCATACAGTATCATTACAGGGATTACAGTTTACATAACTATCCACATGAACAGGTACCAACAGCTTCCGATTCAGTAGCATCCAACCGAGCTTTAAAAACATTTAGTGGCACCAGATTGCTCAGTTTCCATTTCAATTGCAGACTATTCCAGGACAGTGGAGCTGCGCATCTAAATGCTATCTTCCCTAAGACAGTCCTAGCAGTTGGCACATTTAATAAAACCACAGCATGCGATCTCAGGCAGTAGCCACTTACAATTCGCCGTGAGATCAGGGAGCAGATGTAGGATGGAAGTTTCCCTAACATGGCTTTATATATAAAAATGTACCAGTGACTGAGCCTCTGTACAGTTAGCGAAGGCAAACCAGCCCTTGCATACAGGGTACAGTGATGGGTTAATGCTTTACAGTTTGTCACAAATCTCAGTGCACTGTGATACGCAGCATCTAACTTGACCAGGCAATTGGCAGGTGCATTCATATAAATCAGATCACCATAGTCCAGCACAGGTCAAAAGGTCACAGTGACTAGCCTTTTCCTGGCCTCGAGCGAGAAACAGAACTTGTTCCTGTAGAAGAAACCTAGCCTAACCCTCAGTTTTTTAAGCAGGTTATTGACATGACGTTTAAAAGTGAGACAATCATCAAGCCAGATACCAAGGTATTTGTAACAGGTAACCACTTCAAGTTTTATTCCTTGCGTAGTTACAATATCTAAAACAGGCTCTGGTGTCTTTTTAGCTTTTGAAAAGAGCATTACCTTGGTTTTATCAACATTTAAAAGAAGCTTTAGTTCAGAGAGCTGAGTCTGAATAATGTTAAAAGCAGCTTGCAATTCAACAACAGCCTCCTTAATGGAGGGACGTGCACAGTACATAACGGTATCGTCCGCATAGAAATGTAAGGTTGCTCCATCGACATTTTCACCTAAACTATTGATGTAGATGGAGAATAAAAGTGGACCTAAAACAGAACCTTGAGGAACACCATTAGTAATGTTTAACCACTCAGAAGACAGCCCATCAAAGTGAACACATTGGGACCTTTCAGAGAGGTAGTTCACAAACCACCCCACTGCATGGCTGGATATGCCAATACTGAGTAGCCTCTGCTTTAAGATGCGATGATCGGCGGTATCAAACGCTTTGGAAAGGTCAATAAATAGAGCTGCACAACTCTGCTTATTATCTAAAATACTCGCCACATCATTCACCACTTTCATTGTGGCAGTGATGGTGCTATGTTGCTTTCTGAAGCCTGACTGATGTTTAGACAGGATGTCATTTGTACATAAAAACACCTTTACCTGTTCACTCACTAGGCGTTCAAGAACCTTGGCCAGAACTGACAATTTAGAGATAGGCCTATAATTATTTAATAAAGTGGCCTCCCCTCCTCTTAGAAAAGGCAGGACATAAGCTGACTTCCATATTTTTGGAATTGTGTTTGTGCTGAGGGAGAGGTTAAAAAGAGAAGTGAGAGGTGGAGCAATAAAATCTGCAGCTATCTTTAAAAAGAAAGGTTCCACGTTGTCCGGGCCGGCCGGTTTCTTAGGATCTAACTTGGTTAAAGCTTCACGAACAACATCAACAGTAAAAGGAGTAAAACTGAAAGGGTTTTCCAAAACACGTTTTTCAGAGTCACCGACTGTGGTGTTCACAGAAGCAGAGTTAGTGACAGAATCAAACAGAGAGCCACAGGACACAAAATGCTCATTAAAACAATTTAACATAGTGGCCCTGTCCGATATAGAGCCAGATGCTGTGGTAAGGCACGGAGGTAGCTCATTAAGGATATCACCGGTGGATATCGATTTTATGGCTTTCCAAAATGTTCCAGGGTTATTCAGGTTTTTTGTGGTAACTGACAGATAATACTTCGACTTAGCACTTTTTATTTGTGATGTGAAGCTATTTCTTAGCTGCCTAAAGCGTAGCCATTCTACCTCTGAGCCTGATTTCCTAGCCTTTGCCCAGGCCTTGTTTCTCTCATGAAGGAGACTAGATAAGTCAGCAGAAAACCAAGGGTTGTCTCGTCCCTTCACTCTAAATGTACGCAGGGGTGCATGTCTATCTATAATTTCCATAAAACCAAGATAAAAATAAGACCATGCAGTTTCAACATCATCACACAGCTCAATTCTTTCCCAATCAAAACCAAACAGATCATGAACAAAACCCTGCTCCACAAAATGTTTTGTGTCTCTCTTAATGATAATGCGAGGTTTAACCTTTTGGACTTTTGTGTCCCTAATTGTGGCTACAGCACAGTGATCACTCAGATCATTTGCAAATACTCCCACAGATAAGTGTTTATGGGGAACATTAGTTAAAATGAGATCAATTAGGGAGGATTTATTTGGGAACTTAATGTTAGGGCGAGTAGGACTGTCTATAATCTGAGTAACATTCAATGAGATACAAAGGTTTTTAAAATCCTCTGACACAGAAGTTAACCAGTCCCAATTAAAATCACCAAGCAGCACTATTTCCTTGTAGTCAAGTTGAGATAAAAGTTTTGCCAATGAAGATAAAGAGTCCTTGACAGCTGAGGGGGGTCTGTAGCAACCCACCACCATGACCTGTTGACCCTTTGCTACTTCAATATTTAAGGCTAAAAATTCTAGTTGTTTACTAATTGATTTATAGAATATATATATTCTTTTTTTACATCATATCATTTTAATATTATAGTTTGTCAATGTTGAGCCATTATTTTCATTTCATTTCAAACCTTTATTTATCCAGATAAATACAAGTATGGCGAAAAACGACTTAAAGGTGGGGTAGGTAATTTTGGAGAAACCAGCTCGAGTGCGCTAGAATTTGAAAATACACAACCGGAAAAGATCTGCCACTTCCTTACAGAGCCCCTCCTCCAACACACACGAACGTGCACATGACCAATGAGGGCACGAGATAAGTGTGTGCACAGATGGAAGGCTGAAAGGCAGGTAGGCCATACAGTTACTTTAGCCGGGCCGGCTAAAATGATTGGTCGTGCTTTTTACAGTACTACGGCTTCCACAGATGACATTTTGTTATGGATTTTTTGTCAAAGCACTTAAGATATTCATTGCTATCGGGATGTTAAGAGCATTCCATGGAATATAACAAAAAGTGTATCTCGAGCCGGTTTCTCAAACTTACCTACCCCACCTTTAAGTAAAATACTTTAGTAAATGTACTTTGTTTTATTCCACCACTGCTGTTGGCTGTGCTCATTTTGAACAACCCATGCCAAGCTGCACTTCATATTGAACAAAACAAGAGTCACTGTTGGGCGCTACACAGGAACCACAACACTGCAATAAAGAGTCACAGCTGTGTGTTTATTGGCATATTGAGAGTTTTACCACAGGCCTTATGATGTGACTCAGCAGATCATAACTGAGCAGCTATCTGTTATCAGGATTGTTTTAGTGGTTTATTGCTGGTATAGCTTTAAATTCAAACCAACTATGTGCTTCACTGTCCGTCGGCTGAAGGGTCATCATTTATGATTTTATTTCTTATCTAACAGTCCTTCGTATTGTGTTCAATCACAATAGTGTCATATTTTTTTTTTGTATTTCAGTGGCCCTAGACATTTTGATATAAGATAATATTAAGATATATGAAACCTAGACTAAACATATTCTATATATATATATAAAAACTACTTTTTTCTGTAGGACTAGATATTTAACTCCTGTGGCAGCACTGCTTCAGTAAATAAGTCTGGTAATAGAGTCATGTTTGAGTTTCTTACAAATACAAATACATACACATTAGGTTTTATTTACGCTTGAGCGGTTTAATTCCTGAACTCTTTTGAACGCTCCTTAAACACATCAGTACTCAGTAGTACTTTATTGAAACCAAATATCTGTGTAACTTGACCTTTATCTGTTTTTGTCCCACTGACCTGCCCTTCAACTCCCTGTGCCATAGACTGATAAAGGAACATTTTTAAAGGGGAACTCTCCTAACTCCTAATGGGAAGTGGAACATACAGTTGGGTTCTCTTGATCTATTATAGTTGATGATCTCAGGGTGTACGCTTTGCTATGAATGGACCACAAGTGCCCTAAACCAAATACAAAACCTAACCATAACTCTTAGTAATCCTTGAGAGCCTGAAATCCAATAATAGCCACATTACCTCATGTTTGTTTATATTCACAACAGGAGGATGTGACCACAGAGTGGGACCTCTACCACGACTACACCACCAGTCAGCTGGGCCTGCATGACATGCTGAGGGAGTGGAGGGCGGAGATGAACATCTACAGCCGGGAGCCAGGCAGATACAGGTGTGGGACACAAAACAGTACATCTATTGGACGAACTGGGACTGGTGACTACTCAATGTGCTACTACACACGTATGGTGATGATGATATAAGGTTCAAACAGCTCATCATTTATTTTGAAACAGTCTTGTGTATTCTACTGTGTCACATTTATGTCGAAGCATTTTTGACAATGAGTGTAAACTGTGTTTCAATTTGCTTACAGATACTGTATGTTTAAAGAACTGTTAGTACCAGCACTTTTTTTGAAACAAATTTCTATTTTAGTTAGATTAAAAGAGTTCAGCAAAGTTCAAGTTGAAGAAAATCGAGTGTTGAATTATACTAATGTTCAGTGTGGCGGAGGATCAGATTGCATGTCCTCAAACACAAGTTCCTGCTCCTCTCCAGGTTCATGGTGACAGAGTCGTATGATTACCACGAGGTGGAGAAGACCATGATGTACTATGGCACCCCGCAGGTGAAAGAAAGCGACTTCCCCTTTAACTTCTACCTGCTGGACCTTCCTCAGAACCCAAGCGGCATGTGGGTTAAACATCTGGTCCACATGTGGATGGGCAACATGCCCAAGGGACAATGGCCAAACTGGGTGGTGAGTCAGGAGTCTTTTCACATCAGCTTTCTCTTCCATTACCCAAACATACCCACTCACCCTGCCATCTTCCTCCTTAACTTTTTTCACCATGTCTCCACCTTCTCTTGTATTTCTTCTACCTCTACTGCAATCAGGTCGGGAACCATGATAAGTCTCGAATTGCCTCCAGTGCTGGTCAGATCTACGTTCGTGTCATCAACATGCTGCTACTGACCCTCCCGGGCACCCCCACCACCTACTACGGAGAGGAGATCGGCATGGAGAACATAAATGTCACAGACAGTCAGATACAGGACCCTGCCGGAAAATACAACTCCGTCAGTACTGAGCAAACTTGGTTAAAATACTTTCTTTCACTTCTATACTGTTGATAGTGTCTGTATTATACTGTATATTTATATACTGCTGTTGATAATGTGTATACCTCCTTATAATGTTCATAGTGTTCAGTTTGTTTTTATCAGTCACATGTATATTTAAGCAATAGCTCACGACAGGCCGTGGTATATGCTCAGTATATCACAGCTAAGGGGCGTGGTTCGGCCCGACAGGCAGATCAAAAATAGTCCGTTGTTATTGTTTGAACTATGTAGCAACGGTAGGAACTGCTTTGATAGCTTTTTGCAGACCTTTTTGATTACAGATTTGAAAACATCGTTGCTTGCTTTAAAAGTAGCACAATTCATTTTGTCAAACCTTGGAAAGTATCTAAATATCCCTGCCCTAATGCCAAAGGAACTGCACACTGAATATGTTTTGCCGTTTGATGTCTATGTCTGGACCGCTGCGTAAAAAGGAGGGTTTCTGCCCCGTTACTTCTCCGCTGTTGTCCCAGTTAGAAGCTTTTCAACTGTATACAGTTTTTCTCAGACGCGGAGGGATACTGACTTGTTGTGAAAAGTAACTACAATTCTACCCGTGGTATACGCTCAGTATATCACGGCTAAGAACCAATCAGATTGCTTGATTTGACTTGTCCGTTTTATAAATAGATTTATATTATACTTGAATAACTGCATTTCGTTGTCTTATTACTTGTACTCGGTGCAATGAAAATGTTAAATCTATTCAAACTAAATCAAATCTATAAAAATATGATAGGGCAAAAATGTGTGTGGACTTCAACTTTAATATAAATCTCTTCAACATAACAACAAACAGCCTGGAAAAAGCCAATAAGTGAAATCACTGCCTCTGTGTATTGATTTCAACAAAAAACAGACAGTTTAAGTTTCATGATGGTAGCATTTATTGCAGGTTTTTGTATTTGATTTATATTTTCATATAGATACATATATTTATTGTCACTAGAAGCTGATGTGCTAAACTGATTCCTCTCGCTGCAGAGTGCCAGTCGGGACCCCCAGCGCTCCCCTATGCAGTGGAGTGATGACATAAACGCAGGCTTTAACACCAAAAGCAACATCACCTGGTTGCCTGTTCATCCTGACTACAGTAGCGTCAATGTGGAGGTACAGAACTCTTTCATCTCTGGAGAAACATCTGGCCAGAGCTTGCTCAAGATAATTTTCATTTTACACCATGTGTCTTCTTGCCAATCGTTCTCCTCTAGGTCCAGAAGAAAGAGCCAGGTTCTATCCTGGCTCAGTACCGTTTCCTGAGCACCCTGCGTCAGTCGGAGCTGCCCCTGCACCGCGGCTGGTTCTGCTACGTCCACGCCGACGCTAACGTCTTCTCTTACCTCAGAGAGCTAGAAGGGCTGGGCCGAGCTTTCCTCATGGTGCTAAACTTTGGTAAAGAATCTGCCATCACAGACCTCTCCTCGATCAGGGAGTTACCGGACCAGCTGAAGGTGCTGATGAGCACACACCAAGTTAACAGCGGCAAGGTGTTACAAAAGTCTCACATCCCCACAGAGGTAGGAGAGGGTTTGCTTATCCAGTACTCCACCCACACCCGGTTTAACCCCACCCACCCTGACCAGTGCTACGTCTCCGAGAAGGCCTGCTATTTAAGCGCCTTGGACATACTTTATAAATGCTAAAATGCATCATCAAGATTCTTCTTTGGTGTCTCCTCTGTAAGGGATTCATGGCGTGTAATAAAGAGGATTGCAGATACATCCACTGTTGTCTTCTCTTTCATTGGTGTTGTTAAAGATTAGGCAGTAAGTGTCATCAGAGTGGTTGTAGTAATGGTAGTTGTTTGATTCCTGGCTCCTGATAGCAGTGTTATCTCCTCCTCTTGCGTTGGGGCCGAGGAGGCTCCAGGCCCAGCTCTGTGTAAAGGAATGCTAGCCTGAGGGCTTCCTGTGTCCGGGAGAAAAGACAGGACACATTTCACAGTTTGTACCTAGCAACTTATCTGATTGAACAAATGTTATTGTTCAAAATGTGAGGATAGAATTGGGCTGAATTCAAAATGGAAAACATACTAATTAACTCTGGCACAGTTAAGATTATTTTTGGATTTGGGTAAACTGACTTTTTAAATGGATTGTAACGATGTGAGAGAAGGACATTATTGAACTAATTCTTGAAATGTACAAATATTAAAAACGACACAAATTATGATGTGAATGCATTACCTCCTCCAGCATCAGCTCAAAGTCTTCTGGTCCGAGGTGATTTTCTCCAGGTTGGATATTCAGAACTATGTTTGGTGCTGGTTCATATTCTTAAAAAACGGATAAGACAGAAAGACGGAGGTCAAAGGCAGAACAGGGGGAGAGAAGATTTTTAACATCCATTTTTTGTCACATTTTATTATATACCCACTTTCTCTGCTCCCCTTTTCTCTCTGTCCAGTTTCCCCAAATCAACCCCTCTATTGGAAATGCCTTTATACTCCTTTCATTCATTCATGATCCCATCTGATATTGCCCTCCCTCTTCTCCCCACCATATTATCCCTCCCAGCCTGGTCTCAGTGGTACGGGCTGTTTCACAAGTGCGGTCTTGACCTTGACAGCTCCCAGTCTGAGGCGTCTAATCTCTTGCTCTGATACACTATCTCTTTACCATGCTAATGGCTCTGCCCCCCCTCCTGCATGTGTCTATGCCATCAGCACTTTATCAAAGACTCCGGAGAACAGAGGGAGACAGATTAGAGAGACATATACACACATACACAGACACTTAAGCCGCCTGGTGTATGTGTGTATGAACAACAGGAAAGTGAGAGAGATAATGTGTGCATTTGGAACAAGAAGCGTGGAGGCGGTGCTAGAGAGAGAGAGGGGTGTAAAGAGGAGTACCACCAATGTGGGGAAGGCAGATTATAAGTGAGAGGGAGAAAGAGCCTGTCTATGGGGAAATGAGAGCAATTAGCGCACACGCACACACACACACACACACACACACACACACACACACACACACACACACACACACACACACACACACACACACACACACACACACACACACACACACACACACACACACACACACACACACACACACACACACACACACACACACCACACACACACACACACACACACACACACACACACACACACACACACACACACACACACACACACACACACACACACACACACACACACACACACACACACACACACCAAGGTGACCTATGCTATACTTTGGTCATGAACTTCAGATGCAGTTTCCCCAGGCATTGCTTCTGTTTCTGCCGCCTCTCCAGACATGCACACTGACACTACTGTTGGGAGCTGACCCTGAACCGTTAAAACAGCTGATGATACACAAATTACACCTACAAATACAAGTGAGAAAACCAGCCTGGATGCACAAACACAACACACATATATGCAATACGGCTGCACACATATGCATCAGGAAAATAAGTGTTGTGATAGCATGTGTGGAAGAGTGTACAGTGTGTGTGTGTGCACATACCTGATTTTGGATTCAAGGTGAAGTGTGTATGGATGGCCTTTTTTAGCAGCTTGGTGTATTTGAGGACACCTGCCAGAGGAACCCTGGCATCACCGCTGTAGGCCGTCAGCAGCATCGATGGGTAACACTAGCTCATATAATAACACAAATTCAAAAAGATGGTTAACTTGCTGTATTTTAAAGTTTTTTGGATCAACAATTTTCATTTATGTTCACATTGGACCAAAATGTGGGAATTTTAAAAATGTTGTTACCTATAGGGCACATTTAACTCTGAGGCTGTACCTGAGGGGTTATGTTGTGAAGGGGACAGTAGGAGGAGATGATGAGTCTATGTTCTGGGTTTCCGACTGGGTCCCCCCATTCTTCTCTATCCTCTAAAGTTAGAGGCAGGCTGGGGTCCTCCATTGTTCCCAACACATCCAGGAAAGGAGCCTGAACACAGTAGAAGAGATGGCTTTGGATGTGTGTAATCAATTTAAAAAAAGTAACACTAAAATCTACACACTCCAAGACAGTTGCACACAACCACAGCCCGTCTCTGATGATTTAACATGTTACCTGCAGTGTGACAGCTCGCATCATGTGTGTGTGTGTGTTACACAGCGCTCCCACGGCCACAGCCCCCGCGCTGCAGGCTGTGAGGGCGGTGAGAGAAGCAGAGGAGACTCCTGAAGAGAAGAGGTGATGGAGACAGGCTCGCAGGTCCTCCACTCCTCTCTGCTTCCCCTCAACACCAGCCTGTCGGTGCCAGGAGAGACCTCGCTCTCCTCCACCTCTAGGAGGGGCAAGGGGAAATAACACGGATTCACTTTAACGCACAATTCCAGAGTTTATTTTCCCTCACAGACAATTTCTAGCACTTACTAGCCACGGTTTCACTTACATAAAGCATGCCTCTTATTACCAGATGCTGAGCTAAACAGGTTAGTCTGTAATACTAACTAATACTATATATACATCTATGGTCACTTTTCTTCTGTTGTTTGTTTTAACTTGTTTTTTTTAATTTGCATACTTTTTTATATTTTTATATGCAAGTCTATTCTCTTCTGCAGTTATAATAATGTCGATTTCTCCGTTGCGGGCTGCTACAGAGGTAATACACTACCTGATGTGGCAGAAGGCCAGAGTCCAGCCTTGCTCTAGCAGAAGCCTTTTCTCTGGGCAGAACTCCATGTTGAGATCTCTGCCATAAGCTCCGTAGACATGGACGAGTAGAGGAGCCTGTCTCAAACCCCCCACAGGTACTGAGTGAAACAGGGTCACTGGCACCAAGGTACCATCCTACAGACAGGGAGACATTTCAAAATGTTAAATGATCTCGAAACAGCTCTTGATAATTTGTTTTGCATATATCGGATCTGCACTTCTATGTCTTAGCTGTGTGTGTGCATGACAGTGTTCTACTGGTGGCTGGTTGCCAAAAGAGCTTTACCAGTAGACACTTGAGTCTTAGCACGGAGATGATGAGCCTCCCCACAGCCGATACTGTTTCAGTGTGTGTGCATGTGTCTTATGTGTCAAGTGTTCTCACTTGGTTGCAGGCCTCTAAGCGGGTGGTGGTAATTCTGCCCTGGGCCCCTGGGGAGGAACCATCTTTGGAGCCTGATAAAAGTAGCCCATCTTCAGGGGACAGACTGTACGGCACTGGGGTGTGGACTGGAGATGAAATCAAGAACTCCAACACACTGCCTCGGTCTGCCATGGCTGGTTTCTTCGTTTGGATGGTACAGGCCCAGGAGGGGAGCTAGGGAGAGATGAATGCATACAATCAATATGAATACCAAGTGGCCAACTGTATATTTTTTGTATTGTGTATATGTTGATGTGTGAAAGATATCCTTTTACATTTAAAGCATCTTACATGTAACAAGCAATTTGGTAAAGGATAACGTTTTATGAATAATAGCAAGCATGCCAGCAAGTTAGTATAACGTCAAACCTGCCAAGAAAGAAAAAAACTATTATAATACAGTTTTCCGGTCACACTGACCTGTACAGTGTATGCCTCCTTGGGATTGGTCAGCGAGACTACGATAAGAACGAGTTCACCGGATGCTGATCTAGCCACCAACACACAGTGGTCTCCGATCACGTCCATGTCTTTGATAACAGTGCCGGAGTCAGGGGCAAACAAAGGCACCCAGGAGGCCATGGAGGGCTCTGAGAGAGGGGACTGTAACACCTAGGAAACATAAAATATTAATTAGCATAACTATCTCCTTCCAAATGTATTTAGCTGTGATTTACCACAACATAACCATTAAGGATTATACACATTGACTTGCAGCAAAAACATACAAGCCCTTAAAAACAACTTAATAGGTATCCAAACCAAAATGTCTAAACACTTGAAGCCTTAGTTATCACTTCTCAATTGATACTTTATACTTTAACAGGAAAATAAAGCACTTGTAAGAACCCTGAAGGGGGCCAAAGTATAACAACCTTTTAAATCATGTTAGCTTCTGAAACAATTCTTCTACATATTGATGTGAAATGTATTCCAGTGTGTGTTTGTAAGAGTATTGTACAAACGCTACCTGATATTCTTTCCCAGGCCCTGTATTAGCCAGTATAACCAGAGACTCTCTCCAGTGCTCCACATGGTACAGGAGGTCCGGCTGCCGTGGCTGAACCAGGAAAGGCTCTAGATGCGAAGTCGTTCCATCAATTAGCAGAACCTCTGAGCTGCTCCTGCTGTTGCCGTTGATGCTCAGTATCTGTCGGTCTCTGGAAAGAGCGACCTCCACAAACACACTGTGGAGAGGTCCATGTATGAATTAGAGACGGTGTGGGAGCAGACACAGCTTAGATGTGACCTTATGGTGCGTTCCATTTGTACTGGGAAGAGGGAATATCTAAGTTCCCAGTCGGACATTTTAACTGGAACGCCCCTTGAGGTCAGATTTCCTACTTGGAAACTCGGAGATACCTCGCCATACCAGAGATCATCCAAGATCAGCGGTCAAAATGGAGTCTCTGCATATGAGCATTAAGAGAACACTTTGATAATATAAGATTTGCAGCTCTTCTGTATTATTTGTGTCATCAACCGTACATATGGTTCTGTTCATCTTCTATCGGTGGATATGTTGCTATGATTTCTATATCTGTAAAATACAAAATAAAGCTTAGGTGACTGTTAAAGCTGTAAACAAGGCGAACAACTTTCCTGCTGGCCCCTTTTTCCGACTTGTGCTACTGAAACGCTGTCAACTCGAATGTGACGTCACTCCCAGTTCTGACCCTTGACTTCCAATGTAAATGGTACGCAGCATTACTTCTACTTACTCAGGATGTGTTTCCTCAAACACAGAAGTGATCCTGCTTTCTTTGGAGGTCAGGTCCAATCGAAACACTTTACTGCAGCGCAGAGCCTCCTGGGTTGTGTAGAACAGGACATCGTCTGTGGCCCACTCTTTACTCATGTAGACAAATACAACATTATATATTAGCCAGTACACTTATACTTCTATTATATTTCTCCAAGGTCAAACTATTCAAAACGTACCAAAGCTGAAGACTTTGTCCAGTGTGAGTACAATGTGTTGGGGATCAGGAGGAGGAGAGTTTCTCTTTCGAAGCCTCACAACCACACACCTGGATGTCACAGCACAATCATCCATTTATTCATTCAGTAAGTTTTACATTCTGACAATAAAAAACCCATTACTGCCAAATAAAAGAACATTCTGCATGTTTATTTGAATCTTTTCACCTAGGCTCTTCTGTGTCAGTAGTTTTTAGTGTGGCAGCAAGATGCTTCTCCTGAGGGGACAGACGTATTCTCTGGACAATCCACTGAATCCTTTCTTCATTAATAAGACCTGTCTTCTCCTCCTGCCTAGAGACTTGTCCTAGATTTAGCACCTGCTCTGGTTCTGGGTCACCTACAAACAGGGCGAGGAAACTGAGTCATTCACAAAAGAGGGATTCCTTACAATGGAATGCTAATAAATTGCAGGTGCAGTGAATAGGGTTTTATTAATAAAAGGAACTGCAGGTAATATTTTAGTTTTTGGTTGATTTCAGTCCTTTTTTATAACATTTCGCATTCAAGTGTCTATGAGTTACTTTAGTCTTCAGAATGCAATATGATTACAGGTCTCTGATCTCAAGCTTCTGGCTTTACAACTTCATATTTTCTGCTTACTTTGTCTTTGGTCCACTCTGTAGATCCCATCCCCCTCAATGAAATACACATGGTTATGGCCACAGACCTGTGTCAATGCAAATCACAGTGAATTGTAAAAAAAAGAATTGGAATTTCACAAATGCCTCAACAGCTAATGAGAATAATATGATTCTGTGGATCCTACTAATCCCACACAGGATGTATACTCTGTGTTTCTGGCAACACAAGTGTGAATGCTGCTGTGATTAACACTGAGATTATATTCAAATAGTTTCAAATCCCAAGGCAAAGTGCAGCCCTTACCAACGAGTGATCAGGTATGTTGGAGAACCTGTGGTATGCTGCCTTCAGTCTCCTGTTGAAATACTTCTGTAAGTCCTTGTACCTCTCGAGTCCAGAGCTGCGATGATGATCTGATGAGTTTGAACTGTCCTAAAATAAAACAACTTGTGGGTGTTAGTGATATGAAGCCTACTACAGTATGTTAATTCAACTGTATGATTTCCAAAAATCTCCACTTGTGATATAATGTGTCTTTTGTAAAAATACAGTAAAACAGTATGTAATGTAAAGATAGGAAAAGTGGTGATTCGGTAGGACGATGTCATGACATTTTAATTCAACAAAAATGGTGATTGAGAAATATTATTCTGTGCTCAAATCTATCCAAAATGTATCCTATAAGAGTAAAATCTTGGAACATACTAATTGAAAACATGTTAAAGGCTTTGGGCTTTCTTTATAATGTGTTCATTTTTCCATTTCCCTGAAGCTCATTTCCGTGTGAGTGCAGTGATCCCCATCCACAGGGCTCAGTTTCAGCCTGCGCTCTGTACAAGACCTGTTTTGTTAGCCTGGTGAAAAGACACCATTACTTTTGAATAATGAATGACTTGACGTTATCTACAGGATAGCTTTAACAGACAGTCATCTCCAGTTCTGGTACTTTACTTGAGCACATCCATTTGGTGCTACTACTTTACACGTCTACTACAGCACATCTCAGAGGTAAATATTGTACTTTTTTTGAGTCTACACACATTCACATGAGAGCAATAGTTCATTAATGGTATTTATACACCTTTCTTGCCAGTTTCTGAATTATGATGACACACATTATTATATAAAGTAAATTAGCTACACTTCTTCAATAACTGCAACACTGAAGAGATGAACACATTAGCATGTAATAGTAATTATGAAATTGTAATTACTATCAAATGGGTCAAATTTTAAGTATTTTGTATTAATGCTTTTACTTTTGTATGTTTACACAAGCATACAATACTTTTATTTGTAACTAGTAAGGAGTATTTCTCACAGATGCAGGTATTTAGGTATAAGATTTGAGTACTTCTTCCATCACACTGGTAATCTAACACCAACCCAAAACAAAAACAGCATTTTAACCATAACTAGCTTTTCTTATTTAAAGCTTTTATCCTTGCTTAAGTATGTGCTTTTGTGTCTGTTGCATGTTAATAGTTGTTTTAAAAGGCTTTTAACTATGCATATGTGCTGTCATTGTGCTCGTGTGTTTTCCTGTGCCTATGTGCTCTCAATAAATACATATAAATACCCAAACGAATTACCCTTACCGATGTGTAACAGCGTTGGACGGAAAAGAAGAGCCATGTTCTCCTTTTGCAAGGAGAGAAATCCCATAATCGTAACCGAAATGGTGAAATGAAACGAGCAGGTGAACACAGCAAAGAAGAGAGGACAGCCATTACGAATAAATAAGGTTAAATTAGCTTAGTTTACACATGAGAGCTGTGGTTTTATAGGTCAAAGTAGCTTAATATCACTGCCTGGTAAATGTATGTCAGTCATGACGACAGTAAAACACACTTCGCATGACAAATAAGCGTTGTATTTCCACCTGAATAATGTATTGTTTCGATAAATAAATGAAACGTCCTCTGTTGACAGCAGAAAGCAAATTCTATACACGTGCCTGATTTCCTAAACAAAGCCCGCTGTGGATGACGTAGCGAGCAACGCTAGGCTGAAGTAATCAAATTTAGATAATCCCCTGGCAGTTTAGAACTGACAATCCAGCACGATTCTATCGATAGTCTATTGCCATGTCTCGAATGCCAAAAGTGTACGGAAGTAGCATGTATCCATTGTGGGTGTAACAGGTGATTACAGCCAGGCATATCTGCGAGCAGTTGTGCGTTGGTATAGTTACCATAAAAAAGCCTTAATTTTTGTATAACCTTATATATACCGGTAACTGTGACAGCCCTACAGTGATTACATTTGTTTGCAGATTTATTTACGCCCACCGGTTGGATAAAATGGAGAGGGACTGCATCGACACTGCAGAAAAAACTAAGCCGGCGTCGCCTTTGAGGAAAAATATTAATGAAGAAGCAGCTAATTCACCGATCTGTGGTGCTACTGATGTGGCGAAGGCCAGGTGGACTCTGCTGAGACAGGTAGGCTATTGTTAGCTTCAAAACAAAACAAAGCAGAATCAGAATTCCTTTATTATTCCAACCGCGGGGACATGCACAGTGTTACAGCAAAAAGTGGCATAGCAGGTTAAAAAAAGGCATGCCATAATAAAGAATAAGCCAACTTATTAAATATAGAGAAAACAGCACACATTAGTAATAATACAATCAACATAAAGAAACATAAGTACACATCCCTGGCTAACAATGAGGAGCAGCAATTTGAAGAACTGAGTGACATATTAGGTGCTGAGATATTATAAACATGTTGGGACATTTATAACATTATATGTGTTTCTATATCTATAAAGGTGATTATTGCACAGTATTGCAAGAGTGTGTCTTTATTGCACAGAGCCTACAATTTGTTCAACATCTTTAAATATTTTTTCTACGTTTGAATATCTCTATAATAATGGTGATGGGAACACACTGAAGCAACCAGTGTTTCTCCTTGTCATGTTTCCCCTCTTTTGTATTAGCTACAAAGCCATTGTTTCCTACAATTCCTATTGTAATGTGTAGTTCAATTAGCATATTTGTTATAGCCTAAGCTTTGTGAAATGTGGACAAGGGCATAGCTTATGCACTGCAATATAAGCTACCTGTTTCAGTCTGTTACGGTATGATAGCATTCTGTTTATTAAGCAATTGATTCATTGGTACTATGATCTGCTATGACATTGGACATAACTTGACGCTTAACCTTACTGTAACTTTATCATCAAGTAATTTAATAACAACATATTCCAGTTACTTTGTCACCAGTAAGAGTTTCCCTCTCTTCTCTCACAGGGGAGCTGTTAAAGTAGAGTTTATACTTTCTGCCATAGATGGGCATTATACAGACGTTGCACTCTGCTGCCAAGAAAAGCTCCCTGTAAAGGGGCCACCTTGCATTCTGCATTTCTTCCTCCTGGCGCAGTAATGACCCCAATATGGACTCCACCGAAATACATAGATGGATAGACACTGTAAATAGGACTTATGTAATGTAATGAATACGTTCAGGATGAAAAGATGTACAATCATACTGATCAAATCCTGTCTTTCAAATGCTTTGGACAAGGTTCAACACTGGCTGAACAACATTTGCTTACAGTTAAACGTAAAAAAAACAGTATGCATGATGTTCAGTAAACGACCAGTCAAAATCGAAGGATCCAACGTGTTTTTAAACGGAGCAGAAATAGAACTAGTCCCCCACTTCAAGTATCCTGGAGTCATAATGGACTCGAACTTGACTTTTAAGAAACATATCAAGAAAGTATCCAATACTATTAAATTCAACTTGCAACATTTTAAACAAATTAGACCCTTCTTAACTGTCAATGCTGCAAAGTCATACCTCCACTGTATGATTCTATCCCATATTGAATACTGTTTTACAAACTGGTCGTTTGCTTGTGCCACAAACCTTAAACCAATAGAACAGCTGTACAAGAGAGCTATCAAGGTGTTTCACAGAAAGCCATATGCATACCATCACTGTACCATCCTTGATTAACACAATTTCTTGAGTTTTGACAATTTTAAGTCTTTTAAAAGTATGTGCTTTATTTATAAATGTTTACATGGACTGGCCCCCCCTCCCTCCCTTAGGGGAATTCATCCACAAAAAACACACCGGGCGCTGCACTAGGTCAGAAACCAGAGGAGCCTGTGAAGTCCACCGTAGACGGACCACTTTTGGACAAAATGTCCTCTCCATTAAAGGCAGCTCATTCTGGAATAGCCTCCCAACTGAGATACGGGATTGTCCCACTCTCAATAGCTTCAAAGGTCAACTCACAGAATGGTTGAGAAACAAACAGATGTGTAATCACCGCTAAATGCACTTTAACACAGGGGTATCTCCTCTTGCACTTTAGGTCGCTCTTGTATCTTCTCTTGCACTTTATATGTCGTTGCTGCTATATTGTATTACCATGTCATAAATACTTGTGTATGCTGCTCTTGCTCTCTTGCACTTTTTGCACATCATGTATTTTGTTTTTGCTATGTTTGTAAAATGTAAACTTCTTAAATGTTTTATGTGAGGGACTGCGGATGGAAATGAGCTCAAAGCTAAATCTGGCACTGTTACACTTGACACATTTTAATGTTTTAAGTGTTCATTACTGTGCATTGTCCCTGCCAAATAAACGATTAAATAAATAAAATACATTATGTTTAAAGGTAGGGTAGGTAAGTTTGAGAAACCGGCTCGAGATACACTTTTTGTTATATTCCATGGAATGCTCTTAACATCCCGATAGCAATGAATATCTTAAGTGCTTTGACAAAAAATCCATAAAAAAATGTCATCTGTGGAAGCCGTAGTACTGTAAAAAGCACGACCAATCATTTTAGCCGGCCCGGCTAAAATAACTGGATGGCCTACCTGCCTGTCAGCCTTCCATCTGTGCACAAACTTATCTCGTGCCCTCATTGGTCATGTGCACGTTCGTGTGTGTTGGAGGAGGGGCTCTGTAAGGAAGTGGCAGATTTTCTCCGGTGGGGAATTTTCAAATTCTAGCGATCTCGAGCCGGTTTCTCAAACTTACCTACCCTACCTTTAAGTATAGACAACAACACAAACCATATTTAACATTAGTTAAGGTTCAGGATAACATGATGTTGTTATGGAACATTTGAAATGTAACATTTCTTTTGAATATTCATTATAAAGTATGGTCTTCCAAAGGATTTCTTGTATGTTGGACTGAAACCTCACGCTGCCAAAACATTAAAACAAATGTTGAGACTTTACAGCAAATTGAATATGATAAATGCTCCAGTTGAGAGATGTGCTATTAACTTTCCTATATTACCACGCAGGTGTTGCGTCAGAAGCAGACGGACGCTCCAGAGGTCAAACAGGTGTCAGTCCGCAGGTTTGCAACGTTTGACCTTTTCAGCAGGAAGAGGCTTCTGACTCAAGACCCCAGTGATACCTCAGACGACCAGTGGGTGGAGTACAGAAGTGTCTTCTTTCCCGAGTACAGTGCCTTGCTCAGGTACACACACATGAATGGATCCATATAAGGCTCTAGTTTCAAACTGGCACAGATGAAGCACAGCGACCAAACAAGGGGTCGTTTCATGATAACACAGGATTTAACACGTTGCAGGTTCATAAAGTGTGGTGTTGCTTTTACCATTAAGGATAGAAGAGCAAAGTATCTACAAGGACAAACCATACAAGAGATGATGTTATTAAGTCATTACCTAAACAACACGTTTTGATATAGTGATTAAAATGCTGTTGAATTAAACTTTATTTGTCTCAATGTTGCTTTTTTATTTTCCAAACTCTTATTCAATGCAATTGAGATTTGAAAATAAATACATGCTGACTTATCTTGTTAATTTCCTTTTGTTATAATGTATTTAAGAAGAAACAACAAATAGTATTCACCCATGCCGCTGTGTAATCCTCTTTATTTTTCTGTTTCAGGGACAACATGGGGCCTATCCGAGTTAACGAAGTGCTCAACAGTTTTGACAACACCGGTAATGTCTGTAAGTACCTACTTGATCTTACTACTACTTGCATTGTGTTTTGAATATGGTCGAGTCAGTATTTTATTACTTTCACACAGTTTGTTTGACCTGCACTCACTTTTATCCCATCCTCTCTCACACACACACACACACACACACACACACACACACACACACACACACACACACGCTCAAACTCTGGGTTAGCCTCATGCTGTGTGCTGTTAGTGTTTGATTGATGGTTTGATGCGGGTGGTTTGATTCCATCTCTTTGAATGGTAGTACGTCTCTTGTGTGGCTTCTGATGCGATTTATCATGTATGCTCATTCCTCCCAACTACCTTCAAATGTCCTTGAGAAGGAAAGTGGGCTTCAGTCTTCTTATTCTCTCAGTCGACAGTGATGAGTGGTTTGGGAGAAAGGTAAGAGCGTGACTCAAACAGGGGTTTGCAAATGCTTTATGATATGAAGTGGAATATGATCACCTGAAACACAAGAGCCTTGGCCTCACCTTCATTCTGTCAAGTTTCTCTGAGGCATTTAGCTCAACTTCTGGTTGAGTTGGGTTGTATTCTGCTCTATTCAGTTATTGCTTATTGCTATATTTTTACAATCCTTTTGTAGAGCTTTTTCAATCAGACATGCATGACTGCTGTTTACCTGAGTGAATCAGTTCTGTCAGCTACAAACATTCGGATTGTTTATGAGATTAAACTCCTTTAAAATGACTTATAAGCATGCACATTTCAAGTTAATTGCATGTGTATTAACTATATACACTCAGTAGCTACTTTAAACATGTTCACCCAAATCATTTATTGAAATCCAATACAACGTTTCTCACCTGAAGTTTACTTTTGTGATGCCTATAAAGTTTTTTTTGACACTCAAAGGTTACATTTGTATGTTTAGCATGAGGTATAGGTTTGTAATATTCTGCCTATCTTATGTATATTGATAGTAATAACAAGGAACTCTCAATATAATGTTGTGCAGTACAACACCACTGCAAACTACATCCTCAATAATTCATACGTCATTTAATGTCCACCTTTTGGAAAATGTGAACAACAACTGAACTTAATACACTTCATGAAGGTATCATTTGTGGCAGAGCTGTTGCATTAGATTGTCCAGGTTGACCTAATAAAGTGGCAACTGAATGCATGTTGTGTTTATTTGTAAGTTGCATTCAAAGCCATACAATACATCTTTATAGTCAAGTTAATTAAAATGTGTCTTTTGATTACACCTCAGCCATATCAAATATTGAAACAATGCTCAGTATCATTGGAAACAACAGCATATGCATTGATAGAGCTGCTTCTTTGATGATATGATGTATATTATGAAGTTGTTTAATACTTTTCTCTGTGTAGGTCCATCTTCACAGGCATGTGTTGGGTTAGGACAAAGGTCATGGGTTAGTGCTAACCAGCCAGATGGCTCCATAGGACTCGGGGTCAGAGGTGAAGGTCATGGCCAGAGGCTACTTCATTGCACACTGGGATCAGACTATATAAGTCATGACAGAGCTCAGCGGCAGCTCTCATTCCAACCTGCTAGAACGGATAATCCCTATTCTCTTCAAGGAGACAATAGGATCAATACCTTTTCCTTTGTAGAGAGAAAATGGAGAGGTCATCATGTTTTTGCCTTGTGGCACTCTAGCAACCTTCACTGTGTTTGTGATTTGCATTTGTCCTTCCCTGTCTTTCTTCCTCTTCGTCCTCTAATAGTGACTTCTCTCTTCCCTCATTTCTTTTCCCCTCTCATGACTTACAGTATAACCCTTCATCCCTCTTTCCCATTCCACCCCTCTTACCATTCTCTCCTCTTTCTTCCTTCCACCCCCTCCATCCCTCTCTCCTCCCAGCTGGAGTCGTGCTTGGCCAGATGGGTAACTGAGTTCCTGACTTGGCCGGTGGATTAGCACAGCCGGACATGAGAGCATAAAGGTGGGGAGAGGAGAAAAGGGGTAGAAGGGGAGATGGTGTGTGTGTGTGTGTGTGTGTGTGTGTGTGTGGTGTGTGTGTGGTGTGTGTGTGTGTGTGTGTGGTGTGTGTGTGTGTGTGTGGGTGTGTGTGTGTGTGTGTGTGTGTGTGTGTGTGTGTGTGTGTGTGTGTGTGTGTGTGTGTGTGTGTGTGTGTGTGTGTGTGTGTGTGTGTGTGTGTGTGTGTGGTGTGTGTGTGTGTGTGTGTGTGTGTGTGTTGTGGTGTGTGTGTGTGTGTGTGTGTGTGTGTGTGTGTGTGTGTGTGTGTGTGTGTGTGTGTGTGTGTGTGTGTGTGTGTGTGTGTGTGTGTGTGTGTGTGTGTGTGTGTGTGTGTGTGTGTGTGTGTGTGTGTGTGTGTGTGTGTGTGTGTGTGTGTGTGTGTGTGTGTGTGTGTGTGTGTGTGTGTGTGTGTGTGTGTGTGTGTGTGTGTGTGTGTGTGTGTGTGGAGAGCCACTAGCAACGGGACCTCGTTCGTCGAACAATGAGCCAGCCATCTCCCTCCTGTTCTCCATTCCATGTTTGGGACTAGTAATGCGTGAGATCAATTAGGATTGGTTGAGAGGAGGCTTTGAAAGGCCCAGAGGTGACCCTGTCAGAGCTCTGGGGTATATTTTTTGGGATGGGAGTCAGGGAGAAACCCCTCTAAATACACAAACATACACACAACTACTTACCTTTACCCCTCACTAAGATATAGAGCCACACACTCATACTTCCACACAGTCTTGCTAATGAACACATATTCACTTTGCCCACCATCCCACCCTCTCCACCTTTCCTGTTATCTTGATAATCCCCCCTAACCCTGAGGTGTGGACAAGCCCAAATCCTAGGGGTCCTTGTCCTCCTGAATAGCGGGCTAAAAAGCCTGGCCGGATTAGCCCACTGCCTCTAAAATGTGTGGACTCAGCTTAAAATTGCTATCCCCTCTCAGCATGACTCGCTCTGCCGGCTATTGTGCTTGTGCCACCACTGTGCATATATGTGAACAATATGTTGTTTCTTAAGGTGACGATAAGCTGGAGTCAATGGTTTCATTGCAAGACCAGAGGAGCGGCCAATGAGTCTCAATGAAGATGTTTTAGGAAATGGAGAGCGTATGTTAGAGATGACATCATATCAATTAAAAGACTTTTAAATATTTGGGATTTAATGTCACTTATGCCTAAGCCTATTGTGCCTTTTATTTATTTTGAAAAAAGATTTAAGTCCTAACAAAAATACATACATTTGGTTCAATGTAGAATGTAAAATGTGTAAAATACAGCCCATTACGTATTGTATATCAGGCTGTACTGTAACACAGTGCTTGTATTCGTACAGAAATACTTAATTGGGCACAAATAACTAAAAGTAAAACAATACAATCGATAAACTAAATGAAGGCTTTAATGCCAAGGGGATCTATAAATCAGAACATTATCAATATAAACTCTGATCATATTGTATGTCATACTCACAGTGGGAGACCATATTTTAAATCAGTAGTATATGTAGAAAAACTATATATATATAAATAAAAACGTTTTGGGTTGATTTGTAGGTGTGAAGTAATTGAAGTGGTAAACATTTTTTATCTTCTGTTATTAAAAAACCTGTCACTCAAACTTTGAATTGTTTTGATAAATTAGTACTCTAAGCATATAAAAATATATTTGGACCTAGTTTGTATGACGTTAATTTGGTGTTAGGACATTATTCTTATTATAATTATGATCTTGTTGCTCCTTTCAATCAAGGCTTTTTGTGTAAAAATGTGCCCTCATGCTGCTACTGATGTTGGTGCTCTCTCTCTATTAGTTTCTTTTGGGCAACCCCCATTTATCTGCATCAGGTCTGATGGTGCTCACACCCCTTCTGATCCGATCTCTCTTTTTAAAAATGTGAACTCGTAAAAGTTAGTCTAAGTTAAGAGTTTTGTACCTGGGTAATTTACAGCACGCAGGTAGTAACAGACAGTTGACTTTGGTTCGTTTCACACTCAAGTACAAAGCCCCCCCTCTGGTGGTGATTCAAAAATCAGTGTAGTTACATTTGTAACTCGTTATTTGTTGTCAATGAATAATTGGCCCTATTTCAGACTGTTCTTGATCACTTTGAACTATTTGAACCCTGAACTTCCGACCTTCCTTTAGCTGACGGCGGGGGCTTGTAATTGTAAGAGAGCTTTGTGCGGCCGTTGTTTGGGGTTTTAGGGGTGCTTGTTTCCTGCTAGGGATCAGGATTTAAGGACACAATACAGGCCCTTGGGGTTGGGTGACTAAGAATGCATCAGAGGAGGTGTGTGCATGTGTGTGTGTGTGTGTGTTTGAGAGGGTTTAGGAAGAGCTTGTTGACATTGCAGGGCTTTTGGTAAGGGGGCTTGTTGGGCTGTGGGGTTACTTGCTGGGTTCATTTAGCAGGGAGAGGTTACCGTGACACACACACGCTAACAACTTACTTTTTCTGCGTGTTATAGTGTTTAGTATGTTCCACTGCAGTTAAGCTCAGCCTCATTTAGACAAATGCTTTCCCCTTTCTTGTATTAGTGTTTGTGTGTCTTTGTGTGTGTTTAATCAAGAGCCAAGCATCCTAATGAAGCCTTCTTCTCTACAGCTGTCATTGTCTGAATGGCTTCTCCTTTCAGCCTCTCACTCATCCCTATTATCTCCCATAGACTTCACTGGTAAATGCTAAGCCCTGAATGTTTGAGTGTTAGGAGGGGAGGGGAAGTTTCTAGCTGGTAATTTCTGTGTGCACATCCGGAGTTTAGTCTGGTATGTGACTGTTTGTAACAGGAGGATGTTTACAACATGAAAATAGGGCTGGGTGGTATAGAAAAATCATATATATCACAATATTTCTGATTTTAAATAGCTCATTATTATAGAGTTGAATATAAGTGCTTTCACAAAATATTCACACATGATATTTTTGATCAATAATCATTAGTGATGTGGATATAAGGGCTATGTGGCTAAAGACAAATAAAGAACACTGTCTGTTCGGTTAAGAATATGTCATCAATTTACCGTTATGCAGCCTT